CAGGAGATCATGTTCAAATACAGCAGAAAACTGGCAGCTCCACTATGTGCAGCATTACTAAAAATAACTCAATTTTTAAGATCTAACTTTATAGTGTTTTGTAATACAGTTTACACTTGTGACTGTGCCAGTTCTGATAGTAAACAGTGGGCAGTTCTCTTACTAAACCTCACACTAGTGACGTTCTGCATCGTCTTATGAAATGACACTTTAAGAAACTGTTTGGACCGAACTCTGACTGTCATCACCACAAAGGAAATTAAATTATTATCGGCCTTTAGATACATAATGCAATGTGTCATATGTGTTCTGATAATTTGAAATTTAGCACAATAACACACAATACATATGTTGACAGAAATAGGGATGATATATTAACTTGGGTTGGCAGTTTGTCTGATAACACTACACCAGCTCTTTGTGTTTGGGCTCAAGGTAAACCTGAGCTGAGACTGAACATGCCAACTCACTTCAGATAAGAAAGTCAGATAAAAGCCCAAACTGCAATCAGCTATAGAACAAATACTGACAATATTAGTTTTACTTGAAAGCTGCACCAATTAAAATTTTAAAATTTGCATTCAATTAAATCACTATGTTAATGTGAAAGCGGTGACTCGTAGTGACAAACCCGAAGAAAAGTATCACTTCACTGTGTAGTTTTCCTCAGCTCAGCATCTTTTTGGGATCTTTCAGCTCAGTGTTTTGAATTTATGGCCACAACTTTGTTTTTATTTGGTCTCACCATTCTCATTAGTATCATATCTAGTATTAGCAGGCAGCTGTTCTCAGTGAAAAAGCTCTGATAAACTCACTGTACTTTACTTGGCCAACACCAAAAAGCAGCTTTAGTGACTAGCTGGTGAACATAGTGGAGGATCAGCTAGTAGCCAAACAGTTTCTCAGGTGGTGGAGGTGAAAAATGAGCCAAAAGGAGACTGAACAAGTGGATTAATGAGCGAATTAACTGATAGCTGCCACGCTAGCAGTTCATGAAAAGTCTTGTACCAAAAATCTTATCATGATAAAAGTTTTCATATCAGTCAATACCGATAAATATTGAAGATTCTGAATGACCTGTTTTAATAAAGACCAGGAGAAAAGTAGTACGCTGCAGTGTGGGTTATGTCTTTGTATCGTCGGTTATGACTGATAACACATTCCATAATCCAAAGGGTGGAAGCGGCTAAGGTGTAACAACAAACAAACAACGGTCTAGACGTAAAGAAACAAGAAAACTGACTTGAACTTTTTGTTAATTTTCCTCTCCATCTTCACTTCTCATTTTCTCACTCCACGCACTCTCACTAGGTACAATCGAACAACACACCTGTTAAATGATTGGTTGTTTGTCACGCATAACACACTCCATTATCAAGGTATATGATTGACTGTTCATTTTATCACCCAGGCCTTTGTTACATCAATGTGTTCTTCTTCTTATTACTACAACATACCATACCATAACAGTCAATATTATCAGTTATCAATGTAATGTTTAGTCGCCATATTTCCAGATTTTCATGGCTGTGAACATGATAAACCATTTTTGTCATTTTAATCCAAAAAAGCATTCATAGATAACAACTGTCTCATGACAGTAACAACATCATGAGCTGACAGCAACAGACTGTAGCAGCAGTACTCTGAACACCTTCATACCACAGAACAGTCCCAGCTTGTCCAACTCAACCTGCCTCAACAAGACAGTGGACATCAGTGCACAGGACAGCTAAAGCTGAACACAATCAGCTCAACTACAGGAGTTAACCACTTTAGCTAGTGTCTTTTCTGGAATCTTACACGTTGTTATTTCTATCTACATGAAGCATTTACAGACGGGTGACAAATTAAAGAAAAAAGCAGCATAAAGTGTCTTACTAAGGTGTTATGGGGTTAAAATAAACCCTCTTTCAGAGTCACTTAGATCTTTTCCTCTTACACAAGCAGAATCAACGGGACCTGCTCAGCATTTTCATACCTGCCACAGAGCAGGACTGGATGTTAATTACTTAATAGTACCATGAAGTGCACCTGTGTGGAAGAATCTAAATTCATTATGTTTCTCCACTTATTTATTCAGTTTCTTCATTTTCTTTGTCACCTGTCTGTACTTTCTAACAGAAAAGCTGATCTATAACTGACTGAGGCTCAATCGTGATTGCAGCCTTGTGTTATTAAATGTCAACTGTTTGCTTAAGTATGATGACGAAAGACCACCCAAGACCTTCGAATGCTCTGAGCTGAAACACAAGATTTTTTTCCTGCTAAGGAAGCCGTGATTTGACAACTACGCCCGAATCTTGATGGGACTGCGGTTCTTTCATTGCCTGGTCAAGTAGTCTATTCTAATAATAGCAGCCAGGCCACTTAGAAGGTTGATGTGTAAAAGGAAATGTAGTTGTCACTGTTTGGACATCATGAGCATGACTCAGAGACAGCTGTTTAACTCCCTCAGTAGATTACAACATCTGCCAATAGCTGGGTCTCTCTGGCTAAACTGCAAAGCCATAGCATGTGGAAGTTTTCACTCACAAAGACGTAATCGTAAATTGAACCTCAAGCTGTGTCTAAAACTGTGACTCAATGACCAAGCATTATTTCTGTAGATGAAAAAAGTAAATCTTGTAGAGACTGATACTGGAACATATGTGTTATGACTTTAAGGCTTGGCCTGAGAAGTAGAAACCATCTGCTTGATGAGTAGAAACTAGCACAGGCTAACCCAATTCTCATCTGTACTTTCTTTTGCTTGTCCCAGTGCAGATCAGAAGCAGCAGACTGGTTTACAGCCTGAGGGGAGGAGGGGGTAAGAGTGTGGTGGTATGCAATGTGAGGAGTGACGAGTTCAAGCCTCTACATGCAAGCAATGCAAACTACTTCCAGTCCTCATAACTAACTGAGCATACCTATCATCAGCTGAGGTCCACTATTAGAGCACATCTACATGTCCGCATTGGTTAAGACATTTCTCTTCCTTAAAGGGAGAATCGTTCCTGGGAAATGGCAGATACAACAACTGAGTGGGTTCATGTGAATACAGTAAAAAAAATAAAAATAAAATAAACAAAATGGAAAATAGCTTTACAAATGTCTTAAAACTTAAACTAAAAAGATTAAAAACAATCATAAGTGAAAATCTACCTGAAACCGAAGCAGGAAAGGAGGTATGCACACCGATCAATACAAACAGTGCTGCAGGAGGAGCTAAAATAACATATAGCCCTGTAATATTTTGTGTGTCCTTTATAAACATAATTTGCTGCCGAAGAAAATTATCATTGCTTAAATACAAGTGAGTCAAATTGCTTAGGAAAAGAATCAGTAGCTCGGTATAGAGAAGAAATTAGAGAAGTTAATCAAAAAAACATGCTCGGTTGCCGAGAAACGACCATATATGGACTAAAAAGCGTGAATGAGGAAGTGCAGGCTGTATAGGAAGTAGTACTGCGCCTGCTCAAATCCAGACTAATGAGCGAAAAATATAAATTGCACTGGATTAAGTAAGGGATATCTTTATAAGGTACATATAAGTGTGGGAAACGTCGTTGATTAACAGAGGTTTTTACACTGCATAGACAATAACAGCTTGGCAACTGTAAATGAATGAAGCCAGATGTGAGGGGATTCTTCCTCAGTCAGGTCTTGGTCTTGTAACATCAAACAGTCGCTGGGTTCTTACAGTGAAATCCCCCGACAGGAAGAAAACACAGTCTAGCTAGTGGTGAAACCTTGCTAATGATGAAATTAGCTAACGAGCAGGACGACGAAACTGGAAAATAAGCGGCGACCGTGCACTTTACAGAAACTCGCATTACCTGCCCGGGTTTAACGCAAAAGGAGATAGTATTAATATGACACAGTTAGCTGTCCGTGAGCAGATTAGCTCGAGGGCTAGCTGTCTGCATATACACACCGAGACACACACCCAGTTGCTGCTGCCGCTGCTGCTGACACTGACAGTCCCTAACCGTACTCAGCCTCTCCATGACACCCGAGCCCCCTGTCTGCACGGCGGTCCGGTTTGAACAACCTACCCTGTGCCGCAGTCGACAACACACGCCGGTAACCGTCCAGCCATCTCTCCCCAGGTCTCTGCTGTTCAGAAACGGTTGAATTTGATGGATAGCAGGCTGTGTCGGCGGGAGGATCTGGCAAGCCGTTCACAGGCGGAACCCTGAGCCCGCACAGTGCCGTTTCCACTTCCGCACTCGGCTTCTATCAGGCAGGGAGAGGCAAGATGGCGGAGACCGGGTAGAGCGACACAGGCAGGGCTGTGCTGCTGTCAATCACCGAGGAAGGACGGCATCAGTTTACATGAACTCAACCATGAACTCAACAAAGATGTAGTATTGTAATGTTTCCTTGTTAGTATAACCAAATCTGTTTTATATTATTGAATGTACTATATTTAAGTTATTTGTATTAACTGTGATTGATTGTACAGGGTATGTTTATTTATTTATTGATAATATGTTGTTATATATAGTCTATGACTGTAACATGGAAAATATACTGTAATTTTCTAATAGGCCTAATGTTCTAATAAAAGATAATATAAAGACCTAATGATAATGATCTATGATATTTCATGTATGAAGATTTACAATAACTTCCATACTTACATGGAATTTATTATTCTGGCTTTGAGAAATTATATATATAATATATATAATGTAATTATCAAAATTATCTAATAGTTGACTATATAATAAAAGCAGTATAATAGTAAATCAAAGGGAAAAATTATGTATATATAAATTGTATCTATATTAATATAAACGTGGATAGATAAAGTAGGATAGACTTTATCCTAATTTATGTGCCAAAATAAATAAAGTAATACATAAAATCAAAATCACACAAAAAACTATATAAACTCTAAAACCACCAGTCCTCACTCCAGATCAGGTGGTGGCAGTAATCGTCCTTTAAATTTTGATCATATCTTCTTTGGCAAAACCAAAGAAGAAGCGAAACATAATCCGTGAGAGGACCAACCGGTGCAGGTAAATCATATTATGGTAAATAACGGGTGTTTACGCTATAGATTATGACACACTTTCGGGGTCAGATACGGGGACCACACTGGGGTCCTACAATGGACAACATGCTGATAGATTTCTGGCACAAACATGAATGTCTTTTTAATTCTTCGGTCGACTCTTACTACGACAAGGATTTGAAGACAAAGCTGTGGACCGAGTTCGCGTTGTCCATAGGAAAACCTGGTAAGAACATTATGGGGAAAAAGTAGTGTGTTGATGCTGGATTTCGTGTGTGTGGTGTGTGTGGTCTCATTAAACGAATGAAGGTGAAATTATGTCCCATCACTTCTTAAAATGTAATTTAAAACAAATACATCATTGTGAAGAGTGACCTGGGACTGATTTTGTAATGATTTTCAAATAAACCAAAACAATGCACACATAACCCAAAAGCAACTTTGGTGTGTCCCACCTGACTAACTTTGAACATGAACACCAGCATGAAATATTTCCAATAAAATATTTCAGTAATGTAATACTTGTTACACAATGATGTGCCCTTGAATGTGCCCACATTTTTACATGTGCTATTTTTTTTGAAAAAGTTTTTCTTCATTAAAAAGTAGTGTTAACCTATGTCCCACACTTTACATGCAACCCAATCAAACCGATATCCCCCTATTTCACAAATGGAACATTCCATATCAGAATCAGGAAGTAACAGTGTCACATTCTTACTACAAAATGGGCAAGATAAATGTAAGTATCCTCTCTTCAATTTGTTATAGTTTCACAAAACTTTCAGTGTTGCTTGCTGTCGTAACTTTAATCGTGCAACCCTTTTACCGATATTGTTAGAGAGATTAAATATTACATTTTATCTCTGCAATACACAGAAAAATGTGTTTATCCATAGTTAACATGTACCATGTGGTTCCAAGCTAGCTAACCCCTCATTAGTAATAGTGGATATTAGGCTAATTCTGCAAACCTGTTATATGCAACCCTGTTGAATGCAATAACAGGGTTGTCTGCTGTTCAGTTTGTCAATGGAAATGTCTGTATGAATGTATGTCTATGCATACTATGTGTAAAGTATTTGTGAACAATGGCTAGTATTTGTGGATACCTAATGTGTTGCGGAAGTAGTCATTTCTACACGTACTACAGAGAAAATAGAATATAGAGAAAATACTATATCTGCAGTCTGAACTTCAATTAACTGTCTGAAAAACTGCTGAAAAGCAGAGGCTTTATTGTGCCCAGCGAGATGTCGACTCTGAAAGGAAAGCACTTGATGAAGGAGAGAGAGAAGTGGAGGAGAGACATCCAAACAGGAAAAAAGAAGTTGATAGGACAGAAAACAAAGAGAGAGTAATGTATGCAACACAAACAGTGGAGGGAGGCACACACAAGGAGCAAGGCCAGGAGAGATGCTCTGAGCTTGTCCAATACCACAACATGTGTGCATGTTTTTTGAAAATCTCGGGGCCCAATTTCCACTCCATCTGTCGAATGATACTGCTGCATCAACTCCTGAAACAAACAGGGTGCAGTTTATCATTACCTTTTTATTAATGGAATACTGAAAATGGAAATTGGCCGGCATATTGATAAATCTTGTACATTTACAATTTTCACTGTACAAGATATATTTGAAGTTTAAACAGAAGTAGGATCAAGGGTTTTTATGTTTGTGGTTTATTCTTACCTCTTTTTACTCCTATAGTGCTGCTGTTCAGTCACATTTTGCATATTTTACTAAGACATATCTTCACTTCTTGCATGCAGTATCTGATGTTGAGAGAAGATCGAGATCACTCCGGACTCAGTACGGGAGGGTGCTGTGGCATCCAGAGAGAGTCAGCACTGCCCAGCAAAAGATGCTTAGGGAGAAACTTGATTTCTTGAGGCCTTATATAGTTCGCAGGCGAAGTGATTCATATCTGGTAGGTGGAAAGTAATGCAAATAAACCTGCAGATGCTTCCCTGCGGATCTTGACTGTGGATTTTTATGTTTCTATGTACTCTTTTTGCAGGAAGAAAAGTTTGATGACCGGGAAGAGGATGATGAGGAGCTGGAGACTGAAGGAAGTTTTGAACAGGAGATGGGAAGCTCATTTGGTAGCCCACTGGATGCTGATGTGTCTGGGCAAGATCTGAGTGACGAATACCAGTCTGTTTCCTCCACCCCAAATCTTGCTCCCCTGCACTGTCCAAACCCACAGCCTCAAGTCACAGAGGTCATCTCTTTGAGCTGTCCACACCATCACAACGAGGAGAGCTCTGACGATCAGCCGACCCAAGGACCTGCAGCAAACACAGCCAGACACGACTTACTAAACCACTTTGCAGAGGTCATGTTAGCTGATATGCGGCAGATTCAAGACCCTATGGTGCTCATGAGACTTCGCCGAGATATCACCGACCTGGTGTTTAAAGCAGTGGAAGAGGACGTGCAGAGACAACGCGCTCGAGTGCCGTCTATGCCCATGCTGGGGGAGAGCACACGGAGCTGCTCCAGGCCTCAACAGTCGTGTTCACAGACAGACCTTTCTTGGGGGCAGAGGTTTATGAAGAGAAAGAACAAAGGGTCTGAACTTGGAAGGAGGGTGCAGAGATGGGAGGAGATCAAACACATGAGGAGAGTGTCCAGGAGTCAGTTATTGCAGCCTGTCCAGCAAGGCCAAGCACCAGAGGGGGTGACTGAAAATGGAACTCAGGTTATTCTTCAGACTTCTGAGATCAAGAGAGAGACAGAGCCACACACAGTGAAGACTGAGGCTGAAACACTTCCATTGGCCTGAATATAGATACAGAGTTTACTCTCCTCTGTAATACAGTTGGCACAGTCAGTAGGTGTAGGTTAGTAAGCTACTTCAGACCTGGAACACTTAAATCAGTTAGTCAGCATTAAATGATAACAGTAGAAAACTATACTACCAAGTGTTGTTCATAATTTCCCTCTTTTCCATACAGAAGTCCTGACACTTTGGAGAGGGAGTCAGATAAAAACCAGGATAAAGACGTATGAGAGGACTTAAAGACCCAAAATTACAATACAAAGAACTAGATCTAACAGACTTTTTAGATCTTTGTCTTTTTCACACATAATTCTAGTTTCTAATAAATCTCTGCCTCTCAAAACCATTTCAGACTAATAAATGCCTGCTCTATGTTTACCTTAAGAGTGCTATTAAACACATTGTGCTTTAAACACAAGGCATTGGGCACTGTGTGACCCAACTCAAATAGATGAAGCTTAATGTTTTGATGTTCTGCTCTTATTAAAGAGAAAATACTTGCCTTCAGACTTGTTTGCTTCTGTCTTCCATGTGTGTGCGGATGGGTCGTCGTTTAGTGGTTTCTGTCACCCTTGCAACAATGTGCATTATTTCTTAGCAATGAAGTCAATAGCACTGAGAAAGAAAATATTGCAGTTCCCACTATTGACCAGCTGATGGCAGTGGGTGCATTTTCTCTCACTGACAACTTGCTTTTGATTCCAGCGAAGTGACCTCTGCACTAACTGTGAGTTTAAGTCATAGACCGTATATAAAAAGTACAGAATTCAACCTAGAAACAACACACTTATTCATAGACAAAGTATTGAATGTTCGTTGAAAGTATTGTTATGCATGTATTTATACATCATTTCCCCATCTCCCATAGAGCTGTGATGATTCCATGTAAACTGTCCATGTCTGTAAATTCATATTTTGATTCACATTTTCACAGATTCTGTAGAAATATAATTGATAGGGTACTTGAGAATAAATTGTGTCTCAGGGAAGAGACACATTATAAATCTCAATATTCTGTATATAGATCTGACCAGAAGTTAGAGAGCTCAAATTCACACCAAATTTGACCCATATATGAGGATGTTTTAATAAACACTCTTGGTGCAACTTAGACACATCATCAGTGTTGTATCCTGGGTTCACTGGGTGTTTCGGGTCTCACAACAGACACCCTCGCCCAGGTGACCCAGCCGGGGTTGATCAGGCCCCGGCTTGTGTCTAAGTAGCTTGTGTAGCCCACGGATCCCCCCGCTTGATCCACAGCCATCTTGACGCCTTTTCTGCTGCGTCAGTGATGTCTCTGATGGCTCTCCTGTTCTGCAGTCCCTTCACTCCCAGCATCTTGAGTGCCCTGATAAGAGACTGGCCGACGAACCCTCTGCATCCGACCTCGATGGGGTTGCATCGGACCCTCCATCCACTGCTTCGGCATTCGCCTGCCAGCTCCTCATACTTGGCCCTCTTCCTCTCAAAAGCCTCCTCCATTCGGTCTTCCCAGGGAACAGTCAACTCCAGCAGGACCACTTGCCTTGTTGTTTCAGACACCAGGACCATGTCTGGCCTGAGTGTGGTTACCGCGATGTTCTCTGGGAACTTGAGCTGTCTCCCTAGGTCGACCTTCAGCTGCCAGTCCCGAGCTGTTGCCAGCAGCCCCCCTGTTTGACTCCGGTGCTGCTGTGGCTTCTCCCCAGCCCCAACAAAGGCGATGGACTGCCTTGCTGGTCTTTGGTGTTTGCTGGTGGAGATCCCTGTGCTGATGACCTCTGCGATGACCCGCAGCACTTGGTCGTGGCGCCAGCGGTAATGCCCGTCTCCAAGTGCCCGTGGGCAGCAGCTCAGTATGTGCTCCAGCGATCCAGCTCTCTGACTCAACATTTAACTCTGCTGGCATATGTCCTTATTATGTCACTCACTAATCGTTAGAAAAAACAGGCCAAGAATTAGGAAGCCAGATACCTGAATAAAAACAAAAGTAAAGTCACTGCAATTTGTAATGTTATACAAATGTATATATTTTTTAAACTATAATGATATGGGTTTATAATTCAGTTGAAGGTTACCCCATATTTCACAGGCTAGGTAAGATAAAGCCAACATATTTATTATTTCCAACAGCTCCTCAATCCTTGAATGGAAATTATTTATTTATTTGAATATTTTCATTAGTAGTTAATCAACTAGTAAGTAACCAATAATATTAATTAACTGATGTGCAGATTATTGCTATTATCAGATGACATGCACTTTTCTATGGAAAAAGATGTGACTGGTAAAGGCTGAAACGTCTCAGCACCCTCTCCGCTGTCTTTTTTTACATGTTGTAATTAATGTAGAACTGCAAATATATCCAAACATCTAATTGACACCACACAAATGACAGCTGTCACCACATATTGTATAACATTAGAAATGAGCCTTAATTACTAACATTGATGTTAGTTAGTGTCATGTACTCATTAGTGTTGTAATGATTTTTACATTTATAATTCCTTTATTTATATGGCATCTTTAAAAACAAGAGACATACAAACATACAAGAGAACAACCGAAAGAATGTGTTTTATTTTTAGCTTCATGCTAGCTTTTAAAATGTATTTGTCTTTATTTCCTCTTATGGAAAAAAGTTTTTCTTAAGGCATTTTGTTTGCCTGAGCTGCGTGGCTGCGTATGAGGTCCTTTGGATTTTCATTCAGGCAGTGCAGAGTGGTCCCTCGAGGGGTCCTGAACACCACACACATTCACACGTGCGCAGTCCACCGTTACCATGGCGGACCTACAGATGAAGCTTCTCCGCAAGAAAATTCAGAAGAGAAATGAAAAGAACAAGGAGCGGAAACTCCTTAAGAAACAGACCGAAGACGAGGAGACCGGTACGTGCTGTAAATAAAAAACAACGTGTTGTTGTTGTTCGTTGTTTTTTGTGTTTCTAAAGCGGTGACGAACTTCAGCTGCTAAGCTAGCCGCGTTAGCCCCACACGCATGATTTTAATGCCACAACGGTTAAACGTTAACATTATAAAATTTGGGATTTCACACGCAGATATTAATCATACCTGACAATTGGGCATGTCATCGTTGTGTCACGTATCTCTGTCTTTAATAGGCTTCGCAAATATTTAGCGGGGTAGTAATATATATATATATATATATATATATATATATATATATATAATGTTTCTTTGCTGCATAGCCAGAACAACAAACTTACTAAAAGAGAATAAAAAATAAATAAATTAAAAAAAACACACAGCACATTGATCAGGACAACAGTAGCCGCAGTCAAACATAAATGAATTGCAAGGTAGTGATTCTTTAAAAAGGCAGGGTAGTTTTGATTTTTTCCCATTAAAATCCCTTGATGTTAACATTACACTGACCTACATAACGGTGGAGAAACGTTTTATATTCTGAGGAAGCTTAATCACGACGTACAACAGTTATTCATACATTACCTGGCTGATGTGGTTAATGTGTTATGGTTTAATGTGTTTGTCAGTAAACTCAAACGGGCTGGAAGAGGACTGTTGTGAGAAGCCAGCAGCTGCTTGTGAGGCAGAGAGGAAGCCCAAGAAGAAACAGAAAAAGCAGAATGGGGTACCAGTGGAAGGGACCAGCACAGAGAAGACCCTGGCTCAGAAGAAGAAAAAGAAAAAACGGAAGCTGACTGACACAGCTGAATCACCAGGTAAGAACTAAAAGCTTCTGCCTACTTGAAATAAACAGCCTTTTTTTGATAGATAAATAAAATTAATGTCCCAATTGCCATTCTAGCTGAGAAGAAGACCAAAACGGTGAAAGAAGATGAAGAAGAGGAGGAAGAGGTGGAGGAAGCAGCAGTGGCAGATGAAGATGAAGATGCTACTGACAAACTAGAGGAAGGTGTAGATGATGATGATGATGATGATGATGAAGATGATGATGAACATGACGAAGAAGAGGAAACTGGAGAGGGAGATAGCGAAGAGGAAGATCAACCTGAATTACCATCTGGTTTAACAGGTATTAAACAAATAAATGTCTGCTTCCATTGGATCTGAATCTTTAGCAGTTGTATTACTTGTGAGGATCTTCATCAGCTGAATCCAGAAGATAATAAGAAGCAGTTAGACAGACAATGTCATGGCCGGACAGTAGCCTCTGTAGTGAGTTTGCCTCACTGTGCAAATATGTATACACTTAATCCAGCATTGTTGCCTTTATGTGTTGCCCTTTCACTGTTTCCATCATGAACGGGGTGTCAACTAAGGCATACAGAGACTCTTGTGGTTGTCTATAGGAGGGGTCACCTGTGATTCTTCTGACAGCAGTAGCTGCAAGGACATGTTTGCTTATCTTTCCTTCTCCAGGAGAATTATTTTTAATTTACAATTTCTTAAATCTGCCTTTAGGAAAGCCTTTCAATTATTATAACTGTCATTAACTGTGTCTTCAGGAGCGTTTGAGGACACGTCGTTCGCTTCTCTTAATGGGTTGGTGAGTGAGAGCACTCTGAATGCAGTGAAGGAGATGGGCTTTGAACACATGACTGAGATTCAGCATAAAAGTATTCGCCCTCTGTTGGAAGGAAGGTGAGTCTGGAGGGAAAACTTTTCTGGATTATTTGTCAAACTTTAATTGATGTATTATAATGGTATGCCAATTTCAAATGTTTTAGCATTAGCAATGTTAATATAATCACAAATTTTGAGATGGCCAGAAGAGGTTATTAAGAGCAGGATCATTTTGTGACTGTCGTTGTTTTGCTGACCTGTAGGGACGTGCTGGCAGCAGCCAGGACAGGCAGTGGTAAAACCTTGGCCTTCCTCATCCCTTCTATAGAGCTCATCAACAAACTCAAATTCATGCCCAGGAATGGTAATCCCCCCCCGCCCCCCCCCCCCCCCCCGGTTTCATAGCTTTAATGTATGAAACTGCATTGTGTAATCTGAGCTTTGTAAATCTTCATTGTATGAGTCCATACCTAATTGCTTCCTCCTCCTTTTTTTCAGGCACTGGTGTGGTGATTCTTTCACCCACACGTGAGTTGGCAATGCAAACCTATGGTGTGATGAAGGAGCTGATGACACACCATGTGCACACCTATGGTTTGATCATGGGGGGCAGCAACCGCTCAGCTGAGGCTCAAAAACTGGCCAATGGTGTCAACATCCTGGTGGCCACCCCTGGCCGTCTGCTGGACCACCTTCAGGTGAGCTGGGGGAGTCCTGAAGGGGCTGAGGATGCAGCAACATTACTGCCAGTGTTTTAGAATCAGTACATGTGTAGAAATATGAGTTCAGACAGGTAGTTCATTATCCAGATATACTTGATGTTATAGAATTGGTTCATCAAACCCAAAGTCACTGTTTTAGTGATGTGTTTCTACTATAAATAATTTTTTTTTTTTTTTACATTTTTGTGTTTGTTTTAATACTTTGATAATAATATTTTTTAAAATGTCTTCGTTGTGTCTTCAGAATACCCCTGGGTTCATGTTCAAGAACCTACAGTGTCTGATTATTGACGAGGCCGACCGTATCTTAGAGGTGGGCTTCGAGGAGGAGCTGAAGCAGATCATCAAACTGCTGCCGAGTACGTTTGTTGTTGTTGTTGTTGTTGTTGTCGTTGTTGTCGTTGTTGTTGTTGTTGTCGTTGGGCTCTTTCCTCTGTGACCGGATAGTTGCAGCTCGCAACTTGGTTTTATCAGACCAACCCTATTTGTTGAGCATTTCAATGTACATATCTCCAATTTATAATACAGGTTTCATACCCAATCAGGGTTATTCTCTCAGCCTGAATAACAGCTTTTACAGGCTGTTGTACTTCTCCTGACCATTAAACTGTGGTCATGGTGAAAAATAGATGGAATACTAAATTGAATAGAGTATGTTTACAGTATAAACCATATAACCACTCATACACTCTGACCCATGGTTCTGTGTCTGACTCTGTGTTTAATGTTTGTTTCCTCCAGAGAAGAGACAGACCATGCTGTTCTCAGCCACTCAGACTCGTAAGGTGGAGGACTTGGCTCGGATATCCCTGAAGAAGGAGCCCCTCTACGTCGGGGTGGATGACAACAAAGACAATGCTACTGTGGATGGCCTGGAGCAGGTACTTAGCACTGTACACCTGTTGTATCAGTGTTGGTCTCAGAGGTCCTTAGCCCCCTAAACTGACATGAAGTAACTTCTCCTGTGTTTCAGGGTTATGTGGTGTGTCCATCAGAGAAGAGGTTCCTGCTGCTCTTCACCTTCCTGAAGAAGAACCGTAAGAAGAAGCTGATGGTCTTCTTCTCTTCTTGTATGTCTGTGAAATTCCACTATGAGCTACTCAACTACATTGACCTACCTGTTATGGCCATCCATGTAAGTGCCACCTCCCAGCAGCCATGAGTTGTACCCGGTGTTCAGATGTCACAGCCTCATCCACAGAGCAAAGCTGTTGTAAGACATTTTTCTTCTTATCATTCCGTGTCCTAGGGCAAGCAGAAGCAGACCAAACGTACCACCACCTTCTTCCAGTTCTGCAACGCAGACTCTGGCATCCTGCTGTGTACAGATGTGGCAGCTCGAGGTCTGGACATTCCTGAGGTGGACTGGATTGTCCAGTACGATCCTCCAGATGACCCAAAGGTACTGAGACTACTATAAGATATCTAGAGCTCATTTTGTATACATACTGTGTTTATTTCTAACCTAAAAAAAGTAAATCACTCAGTTTTAACTGATCCTCAACATCAGTTTTTATGTGTGTCAATTATTTGGCTCTTAAAGGCTAGATCTTCGGTGTCAGTTGATACTTATTGTCACTTTATTTAAGACTTTTGCCGAAGATCATTTTAAGCTTTACTTTCCCTCCACAGGAATACATCCACAGAGTGGGCAGAACAGCCCGAGGCATCAATGGAAGAGGCCACGCCCTCCTCATCCTTCGACCAGAGGAGCTCGGTTTCCTGCGCTTCCTCAAACAGGCCAAGGTAACCATATGTTGTTTAGACACCATCCATTTGTTGCAACACGCTGTGTATGTTCCATGACTTTAAGTAAGATTTGGTTTCATTGAGTTGGGTCTTCTGTTGTTCAGGTCCCATTGAGCGAGTTTGAGTTTTCCTGGACTAAAATCTCTGATATTCAGTCCCAGGTGAGGAAACGACATCAACATTTGTAGTTAGAAAATAAAATGCAAAAGGCAGCATGCTGGCTTGAGTCTAACGTTAAACTGTGTTGTTCCTCAGCTGGAGAAGCTGATTGAGAAGAACTATTACCTCCACAAGTCGGCTCAGGAGGCTTACAAGTCGTACGTACGGGCGTACGACTCGCACTCACTCAAACAGATCTACAGCGTCAACACCCTCAACCTCCCGATGGTGGCGCTGTCATTTGGCTTCAAAGTTCCTCCATATGTTGATCTGAGTATCCTTTGTAGTGGTTCTACATGAAGTCACATCAAATACTGCACACTGACTGTTGGTTTGGTTGATAATGAATTTAACATTTTTGAATATTTTGTTGTTTTTTTTTAATAAATGCAGTGCAACAACAGTGAAAATGGAAAACACTTTAGTTTACACATACAGATGAATGTTGCATGTTGCACAACAGTGGAGTTGACATGGAGAACTGCAGTTTTAAGTGGGAAACAAATCAGTATTATTTTCCTTAACCCCTTCCTCCACAGACGTCCACAGCAGTAAAGGTGTAAAGTTACAGAAGCGAGGCGGTGGAGGTGGGTTTGGATACCAGAAGTCCAAGAACGTGCATAAGTCCAAAATCTTTAAGCACGTCAACAAAGGAAAGAGTGACAGGAGACAGTTCTCCCGCTGAACCCTTCAACCGAAGTGACTCCTGGACTGATTCCGCCACTGATGTTGAAGAACCTTTTTTATGAACTTCCTGCTTTGAACAGAACACGTCTCCAATTAAACTGTCTCCCTCAGATGTCTTTTATAAACCCAGTTTTCTTCCAATAAGTTGTAAGAGTATTTTGTAAATGTAAACAAACATCATTGTGGCTGTGTGCTTCTGAAGAAGCTGTGGAATTGTGTCCCATGTGGACCTGATCAACAAGACTCTTAAATGCATCTGTCAGGAATATTAATATATCTTTGAATATATTCTATGGAGTATGCTTCAGTGTTTGACTTAAGACTTTGTAAATTACAATGAAATCACTTGATATCAACCATGTGAGGTGCTGATGTACTAATTTTTATTATGTAAGTCAGGTATTCATCACATTTATGACGATATCTATACATTCTCTGAACTCCTGTTATTCATCTTCTAAAGCAAATTACAAAGAAAAGCAGCAGGTATACCAACAGATCTGAGAAAATTATGTACATTACAAAGTAAAACGCATCCTTTTTAAGTCAAGTGAATCCAGTAACCAGATGTTTGAGTTTGATTCTGAAGTAAAGTGAGCTCCAGATGTGTGCCACAGCTTGGATCTAAAAAGGTGTTTAAAATGAATATAAAATTGTTGAGTACATATAGAATCAGAATGTGTTGCATTGACTTATCTTTGTATGCGTGGACTGATGTGATTGTGGTTCCTCCCACAGTTTCAGCACTGACCTCAGCAGTAACATGTTTTAAAAAAAAATCCCTTCATAAAAACATCAGGTTAAAAAGACTTTTCCCTTTTAAAAAGAAACCTGCATGGCTCCCATGATCATACTCTCCATACACAGGATAAATTATAAAGTGCTGTTGGGAGCCTGCAAAGTGTCAGCTTGATGTTCAAATTCATTTAGTCAAAACATTTTCCCCTCATTCTAAAATAAAAAGTTGAGGCTCACTGTAGAAATCCAGAATACATGATTATATTTTACTCTTTTCATCCATCTTTAGTTCCTCTGAGAACAAACCTCGCTTTAAAAAAGGGACATAAGCTGAGCACTAACCTTAGTGCCACTCCACATGTGTAACATCTGTTCAGTATTTCCTGGATCTCGTACATCCCAAAGTTTAGAAGAAAAGTACAAACAAATCAACACTATGTAGAGGTAATGAGGTACAATAGTGCAACTTCAGACTATCAACACCTGATTTCCCCTTAACAGTTTGAAGGCAAATTCAGTTTCTACAGGATGGTTTAAGAACACTTTCACTTTTTTTTCAGAAAAGGAAGAAGAAAAAAAAAATCCATCAAACATGGTTCCCTTGTTGCTTCAAAAAGCTCCACAGGTCACTTGAGGGTGATGATTCAACTGTTGATATCACAGCCATGATACTACTGCTACAAGGCTACATCACTCAAGATGACTGCACATCCCATCATGCAGCAGCAGACAAGTTCTGTATTCACTGTGAGCACATTTCCTCTTCCAGTCTTGTTCCCATGACGATCTTGTACCGCAGGTTTGTTACTGCTGCTCATCTGTGGTAAAAAAGAGAGATCATTCTTAGATCACAAAACGGAGTGACAGGTAGGCAGACTGTTTTATCTGGTTGAACAAAGTCTGGAGGCAAGGTAGTTAGATCCAAAAGATGGGTTGAAACAGCTTGTAACCAAACATGTAAACTCACTGAGGCTGTTGCTCTGTTACTTAGGATCTGACTTGTAAGCTGCTGTTCCCCTTGCAGGGGTTTAAAGTGCAGCTGTGAGCTAAACTGGACCTGATGTCTTCATAGATACAAGCAACCGCAGCTAACCTGCAGCTAAACCAGATGCATCATGAACTTCAGAGAAACATCAAAATCTGTAACTGTCTGAGCCTCATTTTTAAATTTTACATTTTTCTGTTTATGTTTAATGACTAAACATTTAAATGACACTGACCTACAGACAACATCTTAGACACGACTTTCTTTTACTTGGAGGCTACAGTAATGTTATCTTTACCTCTATCTCTGATCCATGTAAATATAAAAAGAAATAAACGATCCTGAGATGAACTATCAAACAAAATACTATTTTATCCTAAATTCCATCTCCTTTTCATAGTAGCAGCAATCAACAGGCTTTAATATTTTAGTTTATATTACATCCTCTTCCGTGACACTGGTTGTGCCGTCGTCTCCTCCTGCATCGATTATTGCAGTTCATTATTTAAATAATTATGGGCTGTAGCAGCAAACACTACATGCAGAGAACATATCTGTAACTCTTTGTTAAGTTCACTTTAAGATGCTTCAAATTTAGTTTGAATCTGTGATCTTTGAACACATTTTTCTGCACCAAGGCTTCTAGCAAGTTCAAGCAACCAAACACTGAAGTTCAGCACTTTTTATGTCCAAACTGGTTGGTTGGTTGGATCTTTCTCATGTTAGCTGCATTTTGGATGCATTTAACATTTGAACTGACTTATTGCTGCTTGTACAATATTGTATTCTGACACAATAAAGATCAGAGTAATACAGACCTGTAAACCTCTCTTTAATCTTTCTTCTGTAGTAGAGTTAAGTCTCAGATACAGTGAGCTCTAGTGGTGTTTAAATGACTTCTACAGGACACAGAAACTGGGTTTCTGAGATAGTTACCACTTGATTTTAATCCAGGTTTAAACTCGTCTTAAACTGCAGCTACTCTAATGACAGAGCAACAGTCTCCACCGTCAGCAGGAGGAAAGTGGGAAAAGTGATAAATACAGTAACATGCAAACCCATACAACATAAACAACAGGGCTGAACTGATACAGAGTTGATTCATTTGATGATAATCTCATCCACAGCTGATCTGATGAACTACATTAATAATTTATGGATTTTTTTTTTTTTTTTTTACATTTACTGAATTTTTCAATTAGTATTTTAAGTAATTTAGTTCTTTCAAAGACAGAATTATTCACCTTTAAAAAGGTAAGTTGGATATTTTTTCCTCTTAAAGAAGGTGCTTATCCTAAAAGACCCTCATTCATCCGTGTGCACTGATGGAGCGACTGTTTTCAGAGGCTAAAATATCTCCATCACTTATGAAAACTCTGTCAGTCAAACCCTTCCACACACTGTGTTAGTGATGCCTAGAAATGTGACCATGCCACAGTCAACCCCGTCACAATACAAAGAAGTTAGTATCGCAGCACTTCAAAAGTTCACACATGGCATGCAGCAGTAAATGTCGGACCTTATGGGTCCACTCTGGTGGGGGGAGGGGTGGGAGGAACCCCCCAGGGGGCACCATTAATCTTCTTTCCTAAACCTGTCAGTAAATGAGAGAGAGAGCATCCGAGATGGATCACAGTCACAAACAAGTCACAGATATGTCACTGATGAAACAGGAAGCAGCTGGAATAACAGCTGGAGTAACTTCTGATTTCAGTGTCTCAGTTAAGAAACCAACATTGACGTACCGTTGGAATTGCAACAGGGCTCTGACGTCTCCCAGTTCATGGCTTTCTGAACGGCCTTCTTCCATCTAGCGAAGCGGAACTCACTCTCTGTGATGAAGACACACACAAACAGGTTCAGGTGATCTGCTGTTGTAACAGTCATGTCCACTAGATGGCAGCAAATCAAACCGAGGTAAGTAGAGTAGTCAGTAGAGAAACTGAGACGCTTCAGTTCCGATTATTTCCTGTATCTGTGTGACGTGGGGTTCTCCACCTCCCCGCCCCTTTAGGAGACCAGCAGCAGGTCTGAGTGGATTCATTCATATGGGCGAAGTGAACAAGATCACAGATTGTCACCAATTCTTTCGCTCCATAGTCACCAAAATAAATATTGGACCCAGTTCTCACAAGCGTCACGTCTTCAAAACATTCTGACGTCAAAATGACATTTTTCAGATCAACAGATCAGGAGAAAATTAACTTTATTGGAGACCTGCCTCTGTCTCAGCACTTGAATTTGACTTACTTATATTTTAAACCATGGATTAAACTTTAAACCTTAAACAAAACTTCTTTCATTGCTTAACAATTGATAAAACAGATTATTAGCCTATTACACTGACATGACTTTGTCCTAGGCTGATCAGATGTCGTTAGTAGATAAAAAACAGCGGCAAAAAAGGCGCAAATTTGTACTGTATCCGTGTTGTATCATCTGTTGTTGTGGTTTCCTTTGGCGGGGACAAGTAATCCATCAGTTAGTGTTAAAAATGCCCGAGCTTTGTGCAGCAACAGGCTGTAATAACAAGAAAAACAGATCTGTCTTTTCTTTCCCAAAGGATGCAAAGAGGTAAGTCTAGACAGGGATAGATTTTAATATCAGCTACTGTCACATTTCGTGCCAGTTGCCTTGGCTTGAGGGAGGGGCTGGGGGAGAACGCCCACTTAGGAGACCAGAACTGTGTCCCATTTCATGCCACTGACGCTGCCTGTAGTGCGGTATCTTCTGTTAGAGGATCTTTGGTTAGACAGTGTGTGTTTTCTGTCTGGTTCTCTTACCGTCACAGTTGATCTGAGGTTCATATTTCTCAGAGGTAACATGTGGGAGGTAACCAGGACTCAAGCTCCACACTTCCACCCCCTCTGCTGCCCCTGCTGCCATGGCTGCACCCAGAGCTGTGGTCTCTGACATGCTGGGTCGCACTACAATGACATGAGACGGAGGCACACACGCAGAAACACATTAAAATTTTAAATTGGAAACAAAACCTCTTAACAACCGAGTCCCTCTCCTTAAAATTCAAAATGTCAAAGTGAACATTTAATCATTTCATTTACTGAAATGTAAAAATGTTTTATGCAGCAGATAAGGGAAACTGTTCCAGATCTAACTGGCCTGGATTCATCTTCCACTTAAACACCTATGATTTGTAAAGTATTCTAATAAACAGAATGCAGCAGTTGTAACTGGTGTCTGCAAATATGGATAAATGTGGACCTTGTTTAGATGTAATGTTCAGGGGTACACAGGTAAGTACACACATGTAAATTTGCGCTCCTCTTACCCCGTTTCTGTGTGTGTGTGTTTAAATGGGACAAAAGTCAGGGAAGGTATAAAGTCCATGTTCAGACTCATGTCAGTGCATACTGACAAAACAGATTTCAAAACTTCATAGTTGTTTGCGCAACAAGACAACTTTTGTGAAGCTGTTTGCTTCACTTGTGACCTTGACACAGATACAATGAAAAGCAAAGTGTTTATTTATGTATATTCTTTTCTGTGCTTCAAGCCTGTATCTTGGAATAAATGACAGAAGATGAAAATCATTGATTAATACATGTGTATATATTATATGTCCATGTCTCAGTGTATGAGGACATGTGTGGGACATGTCTTCTCAGAGTCCTCTTACCTACGGGGATGCAGAGGATGTCGGCTTGCAGCTGCATCATTAATCTGTTGGACGTCATGCCTCCGTCCACCTGCAGCTGCGTCAGAGGGACGCCGCTGTCCAGGTTCATCGCATCCAGGATCTGACAAACACGTACGTAGCGGTCACTTCAACACAAACTGATAACAGACAATACCATCACGCCAGCCTCAAGGCAAGAAGAGAGATCATATGTAAAGCAGAGAGGAGATGGTGCTCACCTCTCTGGTCTGAAAACAGACGGCCTCCAGAGCAGCAAAAGCCAAGTGGTTCCTGTTAGTGAACTGAGTGAGACCACAGATGATGCTGGAAACACAGAGAAAGTAAATTCATTTTATTATACTAACTTCAATACTGTCATAACAGCGCGGTCAGTTAATAAGTGTTTTCATGCTTTCACTTCACTGACACGTCTTTGAGCAAGAAACTAAGAATCTATACAAGAAAAGAGACATCCTGGAATCAAGCGAGTCTCTTTTTCTCCTTGATTCAGGGTTAAATAATAGTTGATAGTTCAGATGTTTTAACAGCTGATGCTCTCACCCTCTTGCACTAGGCTCCCAGTAGGGGGCATAGAGTCCAGAGAAAGCCGGCACAAAGTAACATCCGTACGACGTCCCTGCTGCAGCTGCTAGTATCTCTGGAATGAGAGGATGATGAAGGACAGAGGAAGAGTTGAAGACAAATGTATTTTCTCTACATTATAAACATCACAACGTCTTTAAGATTTTACAGAAACGTGACTTCATTTGGTTAATCAGTAAGTCCTGAATTTCACATTAGAGCAGGTGAGATGCTGCGGTGTAAATACCGATCTCTGAGGAGGACTGCACAATGCCCATGTTGTCCTTCAGCCACCGTACCACTGCCCCTGCGATGGCCACTGAGCCCTGAGGAAGAAAAACATCAGACCCAGGTCACAACAAAGAACCGGGATGAATCACAAACTAGGGCGCACACACAAAGGAGGACTGAACTGCAATGTGGAGCAACGTCTCAGAGAAGAAACGTCTCACACACCTCCAGTGCGTAGCGGGCAGGCTCGTCTTTTCCTAGCTTGTATGCCACTGTGGTCAGCAGGCCATGGTCAGACATAACAGGCTAACACAGAGGAAAGAGCATTACACACAAGTAACAACACAACAGAGGACATGATTGATTTTACAATGTTAATCCTGTGCAGTATTATTCTTGAGCTCAATATCCCACCTTGGTCCCTGTGTTTCTGAGCAGGAAGCAGCCAGTGCCATACCTTCACATGACAAGAACAGACAAAGATTAGAGACCAATGAGTGAATAATTGATGACAAATATTTAACTCTCATTTTCCCATTTTCCACAAAGCTAACAGCTTCTATCTTCATTCTCCAAACCTCCCCTGTCTGTACGACGGGGATTTAATCACGTTTCTCACTAATTTTGACAACTTCAATATTTCTCAGTAACTCTGATGTTGCTGCAGCTCTCTGGACAGACTGTGTTCAGTGAGCGATGGGAGAGCAGCAGCATGTTCAGACCACCAATCCACAGCCACACAGAGACATACATGAATGTGTGTGTGGTTTACAGGAAGCAGAGTACAGAGAGGGCTTTACTCTTGTAAAGCAGAGAGTTTACTAGAGTGAATTTGTTCCAGTGTCTTGAAATCAGAGGCAGATTTAGATGCACGTTAATGAGATGACCTCAGCTTGAAAAAGCAAAACAGCTAATTAAGCTAGTAAGACTCGGTTTAGTGCATTATGATGTGCATGCAAAATAACACATGATGTTATCTAACAACATCTTGCAGCTCTTCCAGCAGGATTCAGCTTACTTCCAGAGGAAGTACTTGGCAACACTGATCAAACTGCCTTTAATGTTATGTAATGCTGGAACTCCAGCTGCTCTGGCCAGGTGCCATCTTGTATCCATTCAACCACTTAAACAGCACAAAAAAGTGTCAGAACTACTATAGCCTGTAGCTGTAGCGTTCACTGCAGCAGGAAGTGGACTGAAGAAAATGGCAGACTTACGTGTTTTTGGCCTGACCCTCTGTGAAGCACATCTGACCAACCAGAGCAGCCGACTGGTCGCCGAGACACTGAAAGACATGAGGTCACTGTTAGAGGGCTGAATGTTTTGACTGTCCATGTATGCATTTACTATATTAGTTGGTCCCGTCACTGACATAATACATAGACCCTTTACCCTGAAACTTAACCATCACAACTGAATGTCTAACCCAAACCCTAAAACCAAGTCTTAACCCGCAAACAGCCATTTAAACTTGTGGGGTCCAGCATTTTGGTCCCCACAAAGCTGTTGGGCCCCTGTTTTTTTGGCCCCACAATTATAGGAAAACAGGCTGACATATGCACCAACACAATCTCTGTCATAGGGTAATATCAATCAAGCTGAAGTATTGGTGGTGGAGCTGTAGTGGAAAATGTGTCGCTCTGAAAGGTCTGGAGGAAAGCCACATATAAACTTAAGCCTAGCAGCAGCCTCAGCACTAAACAAAGACAGATGTCCCTATTCCAATAAAGTTACATAACATTCAAAAAGCCCTTACCCCAGAGATCGGGACTCCTGCTAGAGAGCTTGATTTCTGGTTAGAGGACAGAAACAGACATGTTTAGATTCTGGATGAACGACTGCAGGATAACACTGACTCAACTCACCAAACACACAACTAGAGTAAACAAGTGTGTTTACATCTAAAACATTTGAATCAAGCAAGGTGTTAAATATCACAGTTGGCTAATGAGAGGCCTCAACAGGACATGTGACTGTTGGGTTCTAGGCAAATACCTGTTTGTAGCCAAGTTTTCAATAATCATTCCATTATCAATGCAAATGTCAAACATGATGGGCGAGGACTTCCAGTGAATAAACAGGAAAAGATCATCAAAGTGAGGGCAGGGATTTTTATGACCTAATGGGAAACTGATTATGTTACTAAGTGTGTCACGAGGTGCACACAGGTTATGATGTGAATGTTATCACCTGAACAGCTGCAACATCTTCACACATCATCAGTTAAACACTGAACAACTCTGCTGAAAGCACTGTTTGTTTACATGTGTCTATATTTGATTGAATTTGACAGTTTCAGCTCTTCCACTAAAATGTGCTGTTACAAACATTAAGATAATACTGCACAGTGAAGCAAGAGTAGTAACATCTAAAGAACTTTTATCCTCTCATACTCTCATTTACTCAGGTATAAAAAGGGTACCATTAAAAGATACAGTAGATATGGAGGATGTGAGTGGAGGCTTCCTAATAGTGAATAACAAATTATATATTCTGAGACAAGACAAAAATAAATCTGAGCCATTACATGAGGAAAATAAACAAAGCTGCCGTGTTGCTGACCTCTGGACCGCAGGGTAAAGTGCATGGTGCATAAAAAAAGTTTAATACCAAATAACAAGAGATAAGATATGAGCATAAACAAACAAAGACACGTGATAAAAGAACCTATGGACTCCTAAAATGGTATTTCATAATACAGTTAGGTGGGTTATAGGCTCATCTATCAGTACAGCATCTGTATCTGTTCTCTTATCACACCATCTGCCGGGTTAACAGGGAATCTTATCAGGTCATGTATCAGGGTGAGACCACAGTTTACATAATCTTAACTGTGAGCCGTTTTCACATATGGGCCGATGGATCTGGACCTGATTCTCTAGACACTGTTCTGAGTTGCCCTTTCACACATGCAGCACACGGCTGCTGGAAATACTCCATTCACTTTGCAGGAGAAATGGTACAAAGTCATCAACTTGCCAACACATTCACTGTCAATTCTCTGGACAATGACTGCCTCTATTCACTTATAGGCTCAGTTGGACACGATACAGACTTTTTGCGAGGAGCTCTTATGGCTAATAACTAGAAAAGTTCAGGGTTGCAATGAATCTGTGAAAGCAGCTATAATGATCCAGTATTACCAAACAATGCAATGCATGCTCAATAAAAATTTTAACATATCTATGCAGCATGTGGAATAATAGTAAATCACAAATATGTTATATTATGCAACATCAATGCATTAAGCTTGCGCATAAAACTGTGTTGTATTCATCTTTAAAAAAAAACAAACAAAAAAACAAACAGCCCATTGCCGTCTTGGCTTTTTACACACTTTCTCATTCTTCATAGATCGTGATTTTTTAAAATCCTCTTAATGAGACTGTCTTCCAGTTTAAACATACTTCTTTTACCCTGTTCAAAAGGACTGACATTTTCACTGGAAATCCTTTGCTATCTCACCATCTTTAATCACTACATTAACTGTTATTCTGATGACTTACACCTTGCATCTTATCAACTTATATGGCCATTACAGTGATTATGATATTTCAGGAGACCATTCACTAGAATATTTTATGACTATATAGTTAGCCTGAGTTTAGAGTTACGGCTCTTGAATGAGCTGAAAGAGACATGTAGGTCAGGTCCATCTCAAAACACAAACAGTATCACAGGAACACAGAACAGACACATGTACATATGAAAACATGCACATATACAAAGACAAAACTCTGTTTATCAGATCTTACCATCCAGCCGTATATCTCAGAGGAGCTTTTTACTTTGGGGAGGATTTCCATGGGGACGTCAAAGTACCTAAAAGCACAGCAATCAGACATAACGCAGAGGTTATACTGTACAAAAAACACAAGTGACTCTTCTGTGTACATGAATGCAACAATTAGCACTTACAAGACATTAACAGTCTGGAAAGAGTCTTTTAACTGAACTGACACAGTTCAGTACAGACTGTGTTTGGGCAGTGGTTTGAATAAGTAGAATAATTTGGAAATGAAACAGGGACTAATTGAAGGGAGTTTGAGTGTGGATGTACTGTTGCGTCACCATCACTGTAAGCTGAAAGTTAAAGTTACCCTGTGGGGTATTCTTGTGAACCAACGCAGTCAGTATTCCTCACAGAAACTCACTGTGTGTATCCTCAAGGCCTACCAGATGTATTAACTACAGTAGTTCTGATGGTTCATTATGTATTTTTACATGTGTTTGTTTACCTGCACAGTTCAGGATCCCAGTCCATGGTGTGAATGTTGAAGAGCATGGTGCGACTGGCGTTGGACACATCTGTACAGTGGACCCCTCCGTTCCTGCCCCCCGTCAGGCACTGAGGAAAAATAACAATGGACTAGGTGTAGTGGATTCACATGTTGTAAATTAATGGGGTGCACTGTTGCAGGTTTTAAACAGATCTTACCCAGATGATCCAGGAGTCCACTGTGCCGAACATGGCTCGCTCGCTCAGCACTGCCTGTCGCACTTCATCCACATTGTCCAGAAGCCAACGCAGCTTCACCGCACTGAAGTAGGTGCTGATGGGAAGGCCTGTCTTGTGCTGGAGGGATGAGGACAGGAGAAATACAGATGAGAGGGTTTGTTAGGTTGTCCATGAGAACAATGCTCATTTTTACCAAAGAAAAAACTCAACCAGAAGATACACAAACATCAGAAAGTTGACGACTGACACAGTTCGATTTCACTGAACCCTTGTCACAGGATTCCATTTATTGATATATAGATTGTCTACAGTATAGCTGCTTGTGATGTTTGTATTTCTCTTGTAGACACTGCAGCCCGAATCAAAACATCTGAAAGAATTAAAAACAAACAAAAAAAAACAATGAAGGGGTTGTCCATCATCACTCACCTTGAGGTGGTTCTTGTCTCGGCCGGGAGCTTTGTTGATGAGCCGTTCCACCGTTGACTGTGTGCGCAGGTCCAACCAAACTGCAGACCGGGCAGAGAGCATCGGCTTACACATAGAAAATTCTGTACTACTCTGATCCAAAAATAAAGATGTCCGTGTGCAACTGTAAAATATTTCAGCAGACTTTAAAATAAGTATTGTGAATGAAGTCAAAATTGCAATGCAATTTGCTCAGACAATTTCACAAAGCCACTTTATTTACCTCCATTCTTAGAGACCTGAAGCAAATGAAAGAAAAATATCACTAACAATTTCAGTAGGATAGGATATTCACAAGCCCCCAGCTAAGCTCCACTGTTTTGTAGTTCTCCCTGGAGCACAAGGGCCTCTATGTGACTGCAAATTGCTGATAGGAAGGCTGTAGCTGATGTGCTCATGCACCAAACAGCAGCCCAGAGTACCCAGCCTTCGTGGAGTCTCTGGGTGGAGTCCTGGAAATGTTTCCACGTGGGGAGTCTACAGTTGATGATCCTGAAACCTGGAGGGATATAACTGGGTGGAACAGTCTGCCTGATCTGAACCGGAGCGGTATTTTGTTATTGGTCGTCTGTTCTAGTCATGGATTAGCCATAGCGAACACCATGTTCGAGCATAAGGTGGTTAATAAATGTACCTGGTACTAGAACACCTTCCATCCACAAAGATAAATGATTGATCAGATCTGTGGCCATATGTCATGTCATGGACATTTGGGTGAAGAGAGGGGCAGAGCTGTCAACTTATCATGGACCTGGTGTTCAGTTGGATCAGATGGCGTGGAAGGCTGCTGGACACACCTGGGAAACCCAAACATGTACCGAGGGTGAACTCAGCAAGTCAACACATTTTCAGTGGGTGTTTGACTCCACCAAGGTTGTCTCGTATCTGATCCTGTTTGTGATATTCAGGATCTCAAGGCGCAACCAGGGTGAGTAGAGTGTCCAGTTTGGGAACCTCTGAATTGCGTCTTTGCTCTTCGGAGATGATGTGGTGCTGTTGGCTTCATCAGACTTCAGTGTGCACAGGGGCGGTTTGTAGCCGAGTGTAGAACAACCAGTATGAGAGTCAGCACCCCCATTTCTGAGGCCATGGTTCTCTGCGTGAAAATGTGGATTGCCCTCTCTGGGTTCAGCCGGATTTGCCCCAAATGAAAGTATCTGGGGCTCTTGTTCACGAGTGACGGTAAAATAGAGCGCGAGATGCACAGGTGGATTGGTGCGGCGTCAACAATCATGCGGCTGTTGTACCGGACCTTTGTTGTGAAGTGAGAGCTGAGCTTGATCTATGTTCCAACTCTCACCTATGGTCACGAGCTCTGGGTAGTGACCAAACACGAGCGGTTGAAACAAGTTTCCTCCGTACTGTGTCCGGGCTCAGCCTTAGAGACAGGGTGAGGAGCTTGGACATCTGGAATACCCTGCTAAGCTTGATGCTGCTAGTTGGTCTGTTGATCAACTGGTCAGTCCACCACTTCAGTCCAGAATGAATTATCAACAGGATAGTATTTTGCCTCCTGATTTTGGTGATCCCCTGACCTTTCCTCTAGTACCACCATGAGTTTGACATTTGTGGTTCAGAGTTAATTGTCTTGACAAATCTTGGATGGATTTAGGGCTGTCAAGATTATTTTCATTATGGATTAATCTGTTGGTTATTTTTTCAATTAATCTATTAATCACAGTGCACAATGTCAATCACATTTTCCCAAGGTGACATCTTCAAATGTCTTCTTTTGTCCAACCAACAGTCGAAAACCCAAAGTTCAGTTTTCAAATCGGAGAAGCTGAAATATTTGACAGTTTAAGCCAAATATTTGTCAATCCTTAGAAGCAAAACAGACGTTGCACCAATTTCGCTTAGATTGTCTCAATATCCTACAATACAATACTATTTCATCATAGTAATTATGATGATTTCAAAGTCACATTTTTTAAAACACATGGTGGCTTTAAAGTAGATAACTGGATATTTTTACCTGTTAAAGAATTGCTGTGACCACTAAAAGGCTTACAACCCTCCCCCAACACATTCCATCCAAATAGCAGTCTGAACTGCTTACAGACAAACTAGCCTATCAAGCTAAAACTAAAGGCCTGGGGCGTATGAATGAAAGCCTGTCTTTGCCAGTAATATTAGAACACAAGGCGTGAGTGGGTGGTGACAGCATGTGCTCGGCTCCCACACTGACTCACAGTCACATGGGGTGGTAGGTGGTGGGACAGGGACAGATATGACACAGGACACTAAAATCTGATGCAACCAAGTCATGCGCTGTGCTGTTTCCCAGATGACATAATCTTACTGGCTTCGTTAAAGATGTCAGGAAGAGGTGTGTGTGTCTGATACAAGTTTGTAAATGAAGACATGTGATGTACTTCATTACAAAGTGTGTCTGAAGGCTCTTAACTGTAACTATTTAGGCAGTGATACTTTGTCATTCGGATGTCTAATAGACGTACCAATGGCATTGTAGAGTGGCTCTCCGGTCTCTTTGTCCCACACCAGGGTTGTCTCTCTCTGATTGGTCACTCCCACCGCTGAGAAAACAAACAACAACATAACATAAATGTCAATAAAACCCCCACTCCCACCTATTCATCTCTGTTAGGTGCGGTTAACAGTTGGTTTTAGCTTCCTCATCCAGCTACAGGCGTGGGTGTGGTCAACACACATCCACCCCCAGTTAGGGCACTCAGTCCTGGGTATCAGCGTGTGTATGAGCAGTGTCCCACCTTTTATGTTGGAGACGTCAATGTTAAGTTGACACAGTTTCTCACAAGTCCTCTCCATGCACTCATACACAGACTGCATTATCTCCTTGGGGTCTTCCTCCACCCACCTGATTGAAAAACACATACAGGAATATAAACACACAAAACCCCTCATGTGTGCACAGACACAAACACATTTCAGTTTTGTACTTGGTCCAGAAGATGTAAACAAAATGATCTACATACAGTGTGTTTGTTGATATCTTTTCTCTACACATCACAAGGCTATGCTGTATTAGTGAAATGTCTGTGGAGGAAACTGTTGATAGTTCTAATCTTTCTGAGAATGTAAGTTAGGTAGAGTAAATTTAACAGCAGCTCCTGTGGATGATTTGTCAAAGGCTAAATGATCACTCTGCTCTTCAGGATATGTGCACAGAGACAAAAACATTCAAGGTTTACACCTAGTTATGGTTTCTATAGCAAAACAGAAAACAACAGTAAAAGAATGCATGGACCTTGGATTTGCTCATTTGTAAGTTGCTTCATTTACAACCAATATGTGTGATTTACAGAGTGTTTCTGACCTAAACAACAACAGGTTGCACCAAATGCTGTACAGCATATGGCCTCTGGTACTTTGTACAGGGTGTTCATCAAACACACTTTAAATGGAGTAGACAGCAACATCTGAATATGTACCAATCAAACCAGCTTTCGAGGGTACAATAAAATAAGAGCTGGACCTTAGACTCAGTTATATTACACTTCAAAAAAAAGATTAACCCAGTAAACATGAGGAAGCAACTGTAATCTGTAGTATGGATTTGAACCTCAATTTTTTTTTAATATTTCTCTGTGTACAGTTTATTTTCTGCCCTTTTCAAAGCTTTACGTGAGAGCTAAAATATTGAATCTCAAAATAAGCAAGTAAGCATCCATCTACACTATATACAAGGAGAATCTGGTATCTTAGCAGCCCAGCATCTAAAAATATTGTATCATAATAAAGGTCCAGGAACTCACCCCTCCTTGGGGAAACTCTGGTTGATTTCTACTTGATGGTGACTGATCAGTTTGGCTGTTTTTGCATTGAACACCTGTGGAGAAACAGAGTTCATAAGAGGCCAAGATTAGAAATAAGAAGAGATACACAGCAAGGAAAGTGGCAGAACATGGATTTATCTTTGTAAGACAAAATAGAATTTGGCACAACACTAGAGTGGAGTGATGAGGGGATGATTTATTTTTCCAGTGCTATCTTGTGACACAGACATAGGGTGGAAAGATGGCCATCAGCTCTGGCTGGACTTCATCCAGTACCCAGCAGGAACATCACCCTTGGGTGCTGCCAGGGATAGTAGAAATACACAGTGGCTATCTATTACAGAGCAGTAAGGAATTAACATGCAGTAGCATATTCGTCATAACCTTCAAATCAGACAGAAGTCAGCATTTCTTCTGATTAAGTAACAGGATGAACCTCTCTGTAGCACTACCCTCCTGTCTACACAGTACAGGCCTACAATTCAGATACAGACAATCATTTCAACACAGCATATACTGCACTAGGAAAAACAAGGAAGCAGTAACCTTGAGGAACACATGACCCACAAGCAGTCTTCAACCACACTGCAACTTTTAACTCTTTATGATTCTCTTAAAAAGCCAGCTTGGAAGGCTGATCAGACATGGACATACGCAGGCCACACACTGACACTAACAGAAGAGAGGTAACATTCAGTTGAAGTTACGCAGTTGCACAAGATACAGGATCCTCCCCACACCTTCATGAGGACAGACCGTATGACCAGTTAAAGTGTAACCTCTGACGCTGTTTTAGTTCAAAACTACACCACAAACATCCGAAGTCTATTTCAAGTTTTGTTACTCACTCACGCTGTGTGGAGCAGCCTGTTGCTTATGGTACTCAAACTACATTCTGAAAAACTGCTTTCTCCTTCCAAATGAAATGACAGTTTCTCAACATCACCCATAGACCTCATTCAAACAGTTTCCCTGTCAAACCATCTCAGTTTTGGCACAGAAAGCAGCTTATCTCCACACATCAGCAAAAGACAGGAAAACTATCTGAATAGTCAGTGTGTTGAAAGTAGGCAAAAAATGTTATTCTGACTTCCACCGTCTCAGATCAGATACTTCATTGCTCATGTGAAGTGACAAATCAAATACAAAGAACCACAGTTTACTGACGTCACATTACAGGATTGCTCAAAAAGATTACAAAATTTAAACAATTCAGCATGCAGACGTGACTGACAGTAGGTGTGTGTAAGTGTGTGAGCATGGACAGGAAGTGGACACAATAAACTTCAAATGTATGGGGAGATGAAATAAAGACTAATTCAGTTATCCTGAAACAAATATGACCTGAGCCTGTGACAAATGTCAGGGGTTAACTCACTGTTGTAAGTTTTTAATCATCACAGTTGGTGGTGTCACTGTATTTAGACTGCATAGGTTAGCTAAAAGTCAAGATCATCTTTCTGACACTATCATATATTTTTTTAAATATTAGGGACGGTTTATGAAATTGCAGGTAATTTGTTGCAAAACAGATTGGAGGAGCTTCAGTTATGTTGAGCATTTATTTTAACACTGATAGGTGCTTAATCATCATCATCATCGTCATCTATGACAAAAGACACATTCATTTTTCATAGCATGGGCGGAGTTGTAAAGAAGCTCAAACACAGCTTTCTTAGGTTAAAGTTTAACTTCTGGTCAGAATCTAATCTGTGCTTGACCTACGTGTCAGCAGATGAACTTTCAGCCAGGGGCCCCACAAACAGTCCCTTTGGAAAGAGCTGGTCTCTAATTAAGAAAACATCCAGAGCAAAGTGATGGCACCTAGGTGCTGCGAACATCCATACTTTCTGACCACGTACCTTCAAAGTATTTTAAGCATGATGAAAAAGATGGAGGTGAAGATGGAAAATGCACCTTTGAGCATTTCTCAGTGGATCAAGGTTGGTTGGTTACAAACATTACTGATGTAAACAAATCTGGGATATAAACAGCTTATATTTTGTTGAAAAGCTGATATATTTCACAATAACCTTTAACCAGATCCACTGAGGTGTCTAAAACCCTTTCTGTCTGTTTTGTGCCAAGACTCTTCCAGCTGACCTACTTGAGGACTTTATTCGCAACGGACCACTGAACAGGATTCATTTTGTTCAGCAGCAAAAATAAACAGAAAAATCTGATGCGTTTCCTCGCAGCGCAAAGATAACCTTTAAAGTCATGTTTTTAGCATGAACACATATAAGAGAGAATGTACGTAGAGAAGGACTGAGATGATATTATGGAAATGAGGCTCTTTGCTGGTGAATAGTATGACATAGACAAAACAATGGAGAATTTCACAAGGCTGCAGCCTGCACTTAAGTTAATTTGCTTTAAAGTGGCTTTAATGAGGCTTTGTTGTCTTTTTTTTTAGCTATCATCCGATATGACTGTGCACAAGACAAAAAAAATTGATTGGCATTTCAATAATCATTTCAGTGTTTGTAAACAATACCCATGTGATCAACATTTCAACACCACTGCAAATCACTTCATCACCACTGCAATGCATTGTTATAATGTTTACTTATATTGTAACATAGTGAGTTGCTGTGACAGGGGAGTCAATTTGTCTAGAATAAACTGCAGTGTACAGTTGTACTGTCGACCTCATTGTCTATATTGCCAGCAAAACAATAATTTCATGAAATAAACCAAGTAAATGTTAATGTAAATAAACGTAAATACTTTAATCTGTGTTTAATTGAATCAGTTTTATATTATTTGTATAATCTTTGAGCAAATGACTATACAATTCAGTTTTTTGTTTGACAATTAGCTGAAAAAGGCAATTTTATTATTATATTTTATCATGTAATGTCTAGATTTCATTATCAATATACACGTTTTGGTGATGTAAAATTAGGAGAATAGAATTTGCTACTGAAAATACAGTTAAACCTGACATGGTAAACTTTAACATAAGCTATTCTCATGCAATGTGCTCGTTTACCAGTAGTGGCGCATCCACGGACGAGGTTGAGGTTTTATAACTTAATTCGCTCATGAAATGTCTTTTATTTGTAGTATAAATTAATAAAAGCAAAAGTTGAGGACTAAAACAGAATGACGACACAGCACAGAGATAGTTATTGTCGCTGTGTGTAGCTGTAAGCTAACTAACCGTGCGTTATTTACGTTACCGTAAACTCTAATTTCAACGTCTAAGAAGTGTTTTTTTTCTTAATTTTTTATCAACCATTCGTTAAAATAAAAAAGCACACGTCAAATTAAAGTAAAAAGGTAGACGTTTCCTGAATAAAGACCGCTCGGTCTGTGTGACTTGTACGTTAACGTGTAGTCGACTCCACCAGGTCACTCACCAGAAACCTCGTCGAGCTCGTGCCCTGGTCAATCGCAGCTACCAGCGGATCCATCCTCGTTCCTTCTTATGACGGTTAAAACACTTAGGACAAGACCTTAAACACAATCGGCTGCTGGCTCTGAGGACTATGAGGCTCGCTGGGCTCGCTGGGCTCCCTGGCACGAATGTTTTTTTTTTCCCTTGAATACCAGCCACGATTCCGCGTGAGGGGTAGGACGACAGGGCGAGCAGACCCTCTCGATCAAGTAAAAGGATGTATAGGAACCGGCCCCGACCGACCCAACGATTGGCTGCTCCACAGAAGGCGTCGGCCACACTTCGTCCAATCAGATTTGGGGGCACGTTCTCACAGGAAAAGATCCCGAAGTCGCAGAAACGAGGAAGAAATCCACCCGTGTCTGTGTTTGAACAGTCTCTTCTTATGTTTGTTTGTTTGTTTGTTTGTTTGTTTGTTTGTTTGTTTGTTTGTTTGTCAGCAGGATACATTCATAGATTCACTATCTTCATACAGAAAAAATACTGCTCTTGTAGGCTCATAGTCTAAGTAGTTGAAAGGTATTCAAATCATTTAGACCATTTATACTTTCCAGTTTTTCTGTGGAAAGTCTCTCCTTGACATTTGTGTTAATTAATTTTTTTCTTTTTCCAAATCTTTTATATTGATTTTATACAGTACAAGCCAAAAGTTTGGACACACCTTCTCATTCAATGCGTTTTCTTTATTTTCATGACTATTTACATTGTAGATAATTCCACATGTGTTCATTCATAGTTTTGATGCCTTCAGTGAGAATCTACAATGTAAATAGTCATGAAAATAAAAGAAACACATTGAATGAGAAGGTGTGTCCAAACTTTTGGCCTGTACTGTATATGCAAAAATAGAAGAGAATATATATATAGGCTATAAATGGACAAAAAATGAAAGAAAGAAAAAAGGGAAATCTAGAAAGGTACAGTAACTGTATACTATAATTGTTTTAGAATGCTTCAACATGGTAAAGAGGAGGAAGACACTTAAGTACACTATGTATATGTAGCCTATATACCTGAACATTTCCTCCCTGGTTGACTAAAACATATTAAACTCTCAGGTCCAGACAGTGAAACATTCCATTATGATATATAATATACAAAAAAAGGAGCATTTTTGTCAGAACACAGAAAAGTGTGCAAATGTCAAAGCGACGGAGCAGCAGCTGACACTGTCTCAGGTACATGGGGTTAGGGTTAGGTCTTGCATATTGCTCCCATCCCTCAAGAATGGGTTGCCAAATCTTATGAAAAACATTTTCTTTGGTGACCATATCAAAGTGTTTTGAGGTGAAGCACATTCTTTAGCTCTTTGTCCTACATGTATATATGCAGCCTAGGGCAAAATGAGGCGTTTCTTAATTCATTTTAGTATATAATACGTTTTCAATCAGCTTGAGTAAGTGCATTTAGAGATTTTCTGAGCTCTATAAATCAGTGGTCTTATCTACAAGTATAAAAACTAGAACCAGTCATTTGAAAGCATTTTGCAAAGTAGTTAGTTTCAAGTTAGTTTCTGTGTGAGGCACAGATAAGATAAACCTCAGTCATCTGCTCAATTTGCACAATCTGTGGTGACCTAAACTGCAAAAGGGCACTGTACCAAAATAAGATTATTGATTATTTTAAAAACTACATTCACTGAAACCATTAAATGTATTTATGTAAGAGGGTATGGGTGTAAAACATTTGGGGTTCAATTATCACTATTTATTCATATTTTTTGAAATTTTTGAAATGGGACCTGCATAGTGACACTGAGATCACATATAAAGTCACAGAAGGAATTTTGTATTTGTTCATTCAAATTGTTGCCATTCCTCACCTTAGTATCATTTTGTGTGTTCCCTGTCAACCAGTCACTGAGTGTTACTGAAACTCCTGTTTAGGATTTGAGAAGCAGAAAGCAGATAAAACAAGCTGCTAAGTTTCTGTCAGGAAGGTCAAGTAGAAAGAAATCTACAATACAGCAACTGTATGACTCAGGGTTTTAGGCTTGCAGTCCAAACTGAAACTAAACTCGTGCAGGTTTAGGTTCACTGATTTAAACTCAGCTGTACATTTTATTTTTAATTTTATTTTTATTCCAGAAACCATAGAATAATTCATTTAGGTACTTTGCATCTGTAATTCCTTCTCTTTATGTGAAATATGAATGATGGATAAACTCCATTCAGCAGCTTCATTTTCAGGGTCCTATCATCTATGCTGGCCCATTGTCACACTGTGATGGCTTACTGGGACACATGGGCAGAGCAGTGAATGTTAATGTGAATGTTAGTTAAAACGTGTGATTTTCACAAATACACAGTAACTAAACCAGCCCAGGACCAAAAGATGAGTTCTGCTTTTAGCACCTTCTTCTATATATGTCTCTCTCTCTTTTGTTTTACACACGTTCTATTGTACACACAAATACTTGTGTATACTGTGTCCTGTTATGTCACAGTCATGGTGTTTATTTTGTCTCATATGCACAGATAAATACATCTAAGGCTCCACACACATACTGTACACATGCCGCTGCTCTGTCTGCACACATTCTGACTTAAAAGCACAGGTGAAACTAATTTCATTAACAATGACTGTGAATGTTTCATGTCGTCAGTTACACCTGTGCTTCTCCTGCTTTGCCATGTCTGCTGTGGAAAAGAAAAGGCTCTGTTGGTGCTGCAGCTGTTGCAGCAGCTCCCTCTCTGCGGGCAGGGTGAAGGAGTTTGGAGCCTTCTCTTCTTTCAGTCAGATGCGTCTCCTCTTGTGGTGATAATAAAGGGCCTAAAGCCTAAATATAGTCCAGATCTTTATTTGGCTTTATGAGTTATCTCTGCTGTGGAGGCAGATTGATGATCCTCTCACTGTAAACCTGGACAGCTATATTATCATGGTTGTAAGCCTCGGATGAACTAATGGTTCTGCCCTTTTACTCAAAATGGTGAAACTGGTCGGCTGTTGAACAACTCTTTGAGCCATTTGCTATGCTAATGCCTTTACCCTCACTTGCATTGCTAGCTGGATTTTTTAAGAACTAAACAGCCTAGCTAGCTTTTCATTCAGGCAAGAACTGAAGGCTGGAGCACCAACCCCTGACAGAGGGCCAAACACCCACTTCTCTATTGTCCTCTTGAGACACAAAAGCTCTTCTCAAGCTACTGAAAAAGCTGAAACATCATACTGAAACTTAGTGATTATATATTAAATATCTTGTAATAAATTTCCTCTTTCTAACTTGGAAACTTGGTACTAACAAGAAATTAGGTGAAACTGAAAGGGGCAAACGGGGCAAATGGATGCTGTTTAGAACAGAACTAAATGTAACTGAAAGAGGACGCTAGATAAAGAAGAGTTGCAACTATCTAAAGGAAAACCAAAATGAAAATAAAACCTAACGACTGAAAAAAAGTTTTCCAGGTGTGTGGTCAGTTCTACTTTTAATTCAACAATTAACATAAGATCAACAACTACAGGAGGTAAACTGGCGAGCTGTGGATATTGCTGCGTTTCAATTTTACTGGTAAAATCAAAATGTTCGAGTCAGAAATTTCAACTGGAACATCCCCTGAAATTATGTTCCTGGCTCGGAAATAAGGAAGGAATCTCACTAACCCCAACCTCAAAATCCAAGATGGCTGCTCTGCACATCAACAGAAGTGAAACGTGTGGTTGGTTCAATCGGTCGACATGTTGTTATGGTGTTTGTATGTGCAAAATACCGAACAATGTGTTTTTACCAACTGGTATTGCTAACAATAACAACAAGTAGCACCCACAATTACAAGCTTTCAACTTCCTGTACTAACACGCAGTCAAATCTGGTGTCACGTCATTACCAGCCCTAACTCTGACAGTAACTTCAATGCAACATATTAACCGGGCTGAATGACAGGCTGGCCACGCTTTTATACTCTCTGTCTTAAACTGCATCCGGTTGATTGGTGGACTGGACTGGGTGTAACTCCAATCAGGACTCATCGTACAAGGAAAATGGAGCTGTCTCCTGCAGCTGCAGCCAATCACGCCTCAGGGACCACACATCTGAATTAGTATACACACTGTTTTATGTTTTTATCATTTTCTCTATGATGACAGAGCTGTTGGAGCACTTTGTCCCTACTTTTCCATAAATGGCAGTAAAAGTAAAATGTATTCATAGTGTTATTTTCCATAACCATTTATGGTACAAGATAATTGGTAAAGCTTTCTAAACTTCACATAAATATCAAAGCCAGACCATTAAGGGCTTTAGAAAAACAGCGCGCCCTGCTGGTTTGACAGGTCTCTCACAGGTCAGTGTTGCCTGACAGGTTTTAGAAACCACAGAAATTTGATAGCAGCCATTATTCATTTGTTTGTTTTTTTATTTGTTATAAACTGTTAATTATGTATTGATTATGTATTAATGTGCATAAATTACTAAGAAATAACAGTCAAGTAAAACCAGTATAATGGCAAGTTGTTGTAGTATAATTACTGGGAGTTACTGTAAGATGCTGGGTAATTACAGAGTTAAATTGAAGCAATTGAAGCTATAGCATTAATATCCCTTATTACACTGTGAAATTGGCTGTTGGCAGGTAATACCAAGTCTCATATTTTAACCAACAGCATGTCAACACTTTTGTTGCCCGAAATACAGTAAATGCAGCAGTCAGCTTCCTCCACACAGCCAAGTACTTTCAGTGTAATGAACCTGGTGTATTTGTAAATTCCACACTCTGACCTTCCAATAAGAGTGGTAGCCACTGTAACAGCTGTTCACCTAAAGTGAACGGTAGCTGTGGCAACTGCTGGAAATGTCACTGTAGTAAACCCATAATTAACTTTCCAAGTCTAACATCTCCTGTCACTTTTGTGCTGATGATTCACAGCTTTACCTCACTCTAAAATCTAGGGATTCAAGGACATTTAAGGCTGAATGGCAACTAACTAAACTAAATATGTGCTGTATATATCCTGCCATAATCAGATTAATCACACTGCATTTCTCACACACTTTCCTTATGCATTTCTTGCAGAAAATACACGAAGATTAGTACATTTACTTCATGTGGCAGTTTATCTCAGATAGTAATTAAAGACAGAATTACAGCGTCTTTCACTCTGCAGAAAGTAATAATTCAAAATTATGTAAAGTGAATGAGTCAATGGCAACACCACAAGTGGAGTATACAATCAGTTGTCAGGTCATTAGGTACACCTAGCTAAAACTGTAACTGAGTAAACTGTATTGTTATTCTGATGGTTGTTTGTGTTATTTTGTCCACCCTTTTCTTTTCAATTATACTAACTAGAACACCTCTCAGAATAATGCAATCCAGTTCAACAGCAGCACAAACTACACCCTGTAAAAATACAGCTGACTCAACACCTCTCAGTTTCAGTAAAAACTGAAGATTAAAACCTTCATGAAGGAGGATTTATTGCAGGACTGGTGTATTACACTGCATTGGTTTTTGCCATGTGAACCTAATTAACTGGTAACTGAGTACTACAAGGACTGGGTGCAATGATATAATATGAAGATCGCAGGGCCTCTCTTACAAACACCACACTGTTGTGTAGTTAACAAACTCACTAACATGAGAGATTCAGTGACTCAGGTTTGTGTTGGAGTCCAAAGTTACAGCAAACAGGAATGTCAAAATGGCAAAGACTAAACACACACACAGAGAGTTGTATTAAAGCTGACTTGAATTATTGTCATTGAATCTTTTGTTGCTTATCATTGAATTCAGTACTCTGAATATATTGCAGGTAACACAATGACTATGCATGACTACCTCACACAAGCCAATGTCAAATAACCCGAACTATCACTTTAAAATGTCGAGCTTTACAGCAGAAATAAACATGTTTTGTCGAGGATCTTCTTCAGAAGGACCAGTAAATCTTCTGAGTCACCTCAACACTTCAACTTTTAGCTACTTTCAAGAAGAAATGTCCAACACTTAAGCAAATATTCAAAGTGAAAAATACAACAGCAGTCCAGAGCAATCCTTTTGATTTTACTGTAGTATGCAAATACAGTAAATCCCAGGCTGGGTTCATGAACACAGACACTGGCCAAGGGTGAAACTCTCTTCACCTTATATACCCTGTTGATTGCCTCGTCCTGGCATGGTTGAAACTTAAATGTCATTAATCACTGTCCATATCAAAGAGCTGTTCGCCGTGGGGATTTCTCACTGCCATTGCCTGGCGCCTCGGGGAGCCTTTGATGTTCACATTTTGTACATTAAAAAAAAGAAGCTCAGTGTAAGTTCAGTCTTGTCTTTTCCTCAGTCCTTATGAATTCTTCTTCACATCCTTCCTTGCCCTCATGATATCTTGGTTGAGAAGTGGGAAAGGAGATTATTTTGACTTTTCAACCACAACCCTTGTGATGAAAACAGACCAGAGATCATAAAGCTATATTATTTGATAAATATAATATTTAAAGTAAGGTGGGTAAAGCTACAGAGATGAAAACCAAATTTGACAGACCTAACACACAATAATAGAAGAGAGTAAGAAATCAGGGTGTCAGGTGATGCATGCATATGATTCTGGTTATTGCTTTACATGGAAATAACATTGTTTAAGTTGAATGGACCAGGATTATGGTATTTGTCACTTTTTCAATATTACAGTCACAACTAACACCATCACTGTTCTATTTTCTTTCATTTATTTTATTTAAATTTAATGAAGGGACAATGTGCAATGGCATTGATCATTTACAAGAAATGAAAACATGGTTGCACCAGATTTAGCAAAACGCTAATTTCCATCTGTAGTCCCACGTTTAACAAACTGACACTCTACAATAAGAGTAAGCACTAGACAGCACAAAATACAGTATCAGGACACAATAACCATAACATACTCAGTGCATATTTCAAGGTGCAATATGAGAGAGTCAATAGCTACATTTAAAGTGACAAAGTTAGCAGCACTTGTGTCCACAAGGGTAACTTCAAACACCTACCTAAGATCAGTGCTGACATGACTGATATTTTAGATTGTGAGGGAGTCCATTCCACTCTTTGGTGGCCTTATAAGAGAAGGCTGATTGGGACACTGCAGTCACCCCTGGAGACAGTCCTTGGGGCTCTGCCCAACATCTCAGAACGAGGATGCACAAAATTTCTCAATTTGATTATTTGGTCAAACAAATGTCAGAAAATACTGAAAAATGACCATCAGAACTTTTTCCTGATCCAAGATCAATTGACTTGATCAGCTGACTTATAATTTCTGGTCTCGTTAATATTGCCCAGCCACAGATGAAGTGTGTGTGTCATAGTGAGCTGTACAAGGTTGAGTCACAACAGTCAGAGTCTCTGCAGACTTCACACACTCTCCACCTGAACACACTGACTTCATTTGTTCCTGAAGGAGCGACTGTCATCTTCAACTGCTCAACATCATTTTCAGTTTTTTGTCATCGCTCCGACTCCTCAGCTTGTTCTGTAGTGAGATACGGCAACATGTTCCTCATGGAGCTCATGGAAGGCGTGTACAGACCCATCAGGGTGCTGCTCAGCGCACCCATATATCTGCGAGCTCTGCAGCTCTGGTGGAACTGTTGCTGCTGCTGTTGCTGCCGCTGCTACTTTTGCTGCTGCTTCTGTTGCTACTGCTGCTGCTGTTGCTGCTGTTGCTGCTGCTGCTGCTGCTGCTGTTGCTGCTGCTGCTGCTGCTGCTGCTGCTGCTGCTGTTGCTGCTGTTGCTGCTGCTGCTGCTGCTGCTGCTGCTGCTGCTGTTGCTGCTGTTGCTGCTGCTGCTTCTGCTGCTCCTGCTGCTGCTGCTGCTGCTTACTGTTCTTGCTGTTTGCTGCTTATTTGTTGTTCGGTTTGCCTGTTGCCTGCTACTGTTCCTGCTGCTGCTGCTGCTGCTGTTGCTGCTGTTGCTGTTGTTGTTGCTGCTGCTGCTGCTACTGTTGCTGTTGCTTCTGTTGCTGTTGCTGCCGCTGCTACTTTTGCTGCTGCTTCTGTTGCTGTTGCTGCTGCTGCTGCTTCTCTTGCTGCTGCTGCTGCATGTGTACTGTCAAGACTTTTTAATCCACAAAAGGCCAAAAGGTTGAAAAAGAGACATTGGTGGAACATATTTCAGTGTGAAAGCTGGACCGAATCAGTTTTGGGTTTGTCAATAAAACTTCAGATTTTTGAGTGTATTATTCAAATTTTCTCCATGACAACTGAGTAGCTCCATCTGCTGAATTTGTGAGTTATGGGCAAAAACGTGTTTAGTGAGGTCACTGCAACCTTGTCCATCAAAATCTAATCAGTTCATCCTTGAGTCTACGTGAACGTTTGTACCAAATTAAAAGGGATTCCCAGGAGGAGTTCTCAAGATATTGTGTTCACAATGCCAAAACCATGTTTTGTGAGGTCACCATGGCATAAATACAATATTTTATTATTGAAACTTTTTATTGTGAGGTCCAGTACCAGCAGATAACATCACATACAGCATGCACCAAAACTACAGCACAAACTGCTCAGAACAGCATACAGAACTTACATAAACAAGTCAAGTCCATGTTCTGTTGGTTCAAATTCATTTCAATCGATATAAAGTTATATAATCTTTAGATAAGATGATCGGGGTTGGCTGTGTTCAGTTCTTTAATATGTCGTCCACCACAGTTCAGTGTGTGTCTGGTCTGGAGGACTCAGCCTCTGTGTGGCTGTCAGCTGAGCTCTGAGCTCCCACAGACGAGTCCTTGCTCTTTGCTGCGTTCTCACTCTGAGCTCGGTTCTGCTTCTCCCTCTCCAGAGCCTTCTCCATCTCTGTGTAGTAGTCCAGAGCCTTCCGCACTGGGTCGATGATGTGATGCTGCAGAATTGATACATGATAAATAAACTCTCTCTCAGCCTTGATTTACTACGTGTCTCTGAGTGACATCACAAATATTACCTCCAGGCAGGGGAAGAGGTTGGCCAGTTCGATGAAGAGAGGCAGGAGGACAAATCTGATGAAGCCTGTCTGGGATGAAGGTTTGGTTACTTTGTCCCGATCCATGAAGGGGGTCACTGGAAGACCCTCAAGCTTCTCCACATCACTCTGAGGACAGATAGATGGAGCAGCTGGAATTAAAGGTTATAGGACCAACATCTGTAACTTCTGACTTTGCTTTGTTAAAAAATATTGCTACTAGACACATTACAATAAATATTACATACAGTAAATACAGATCATGGCAGGAAAAATGAAATAACCCATCATATTGTTGAAACTAATATTCAGGCATCAGTACCTGGTTGTAGAACTCCTGTAGAAGACAGTCCAGCCAGGGCTCAGCCACCTCCATGGGCCGCGCCTCGTTGGATATATCACTCACTTTGATCAGGATCATCATCAGCTGCAGACACAAGAAGGTGTCACAAAACATCTTAATCAGTTAACTAGTACCAGGAGGAGACAACCAGTGGCGATCCTAGACTCTGAGGGCAAAGAAGCCCATCAAAGCCCATGGAAGAACCCCAAAAGCCACACGGTTTTACAATGTCATAAAGATAAAGTTATAAAGATACATATTACAGCATGACCTTATCCATTTAAGCATAGGACACAACTTCCACTACTGCTCCTACTAAAGGTTATTACAATAAGGTCCTTTCATTAATTCAATACAAAGATACAAATACAAAAGAAGAACATGAAAACATGAAATTCTTCACACATGTGCCCACTCATCATAATGCCACAGTGTCATGCTGGGTTTACGTGTGCAGTCCTCTTACCACATCTTTGTGGTCCTTGTTGGTGAAGTCAAAAACAGGCAGGATGGATTTGAACTTATTGAGAATCTCATTGTGTCTTGTCATGTCAGTGGCCAAAATGCATCTGCAATTACAACAGAATAAAATGCAAACTGCATAATGTTGAGTTATTGTAACATTAGAAAATGTGCAGGCTGAGAGAATGAGAGAGAGGATCTCACTTGATGATTCCCTCTCTGATCCGTTTGTACTGATCCATGGACAGATTTCTAAAGACGTTGTTCTCTGTCTGCATAACAGAAAATACCTCCGTCATTTTGACATTCTTCTAAATGGATGTTTCATTCACAGACGCTATGTTTTCATCCTCACCTTCTCCAGTATCTCAAAAGCTACAGCGCAGTGATGGTTCTCCAGGGGAGAGATGTCGTTGTAGCGAAGAGCGAGTTCAGTCCGAGCGTTTATCTGAAAGATACTCAGAGATTATTTCTGATGAGAATTAAATAGAGTTGATGCTGAAGCAGTTCAATGTGCACTGGTATATTATAATTACATAAATTGAGAATTCAGTAATTTAAATGATGAATATTCAGATGAAATGAATAAGATGATATAATGAGGTGTCTGAAAATGGGAGTGGACAGCAAACAGGTCAAATGCAACAGTATGCTGTACATAAAGTAAACAAGTTTCAGTACAGTGTGTTTTAGCTGATATAACTGGCCAGATATATAAGTAGTAGTATTTTATTCAGTCATTACAAATAATGCAGTACATTTAAACAATATATACAGTAAAAACAAAGTCAGCAGTCTATGTATTAAGTACTTACTGAAAAGGAAAATTACTCATATTTTAAATGAAAGCTAGTATAAATGAATGAATGTTCCATAATTTAACCCCATCAATAGAAACACATCTCCTTTTAATCTCTTTTTTTATCTTTTTGCACAATAAATTTACAAATATCCTCTCTGATCATATTTGCTTTTCCGTATTGAAAACAACTTTTGTACTCAGCGTGGAAGTGACTGAACATTATTTGAATTATTTTATAATAATATAGTAAATCCTTACATTTCATAGCATGGGAATTTAGAAAGAATGGATTACAGTGATTATCTTATTAAGAACACGTATGGCTCATTTTTGTAAGGAGACTATTTTATATTTGTTTGAAAGGTCGGCCCCCACACTTCCACATTACATCGTTACAATGTTTGTCCACTAGAGGGCATAAGATAGAACACATCTCGGTCAGACTTATTTCATAACTAAAGTTAAAGGACAGGTTTACATTTGTTCACTTGTATCTCACTACAATACTCCTCTCCTTTACAAGCATTACTGGTCAGTGCATGTATTCCTCCTGTCTATATCAGCTGTGAAAAGATCCTTTTACAGTTATTTCAATAAAAGTCCTTGTTCTGTGTGGAGCTAATATGAGGCTTCAGCAGTCTGAGAGACAAAGTCAAATGTCAAATCCCTGCTTTGTGTTGCTGCTCGGCCTGTGGAAAAATAAACAGGGGATTTCTTTTACCTGATAGGCGTTGTTGTATCCTGTGTGGTCCAGGTCGTGGCAAACTGCAGAGGTCAGCATGATCAGCAGGTCGATGGTGTCCATCTTACTCCTCAGGTCAGTCAGCCAGATCAAACCGTACATCTGTTCACAGATGTAGAAACAGGGAAGGGCAGAATGGGAAATGGAGATGTTCTGTTGTACATAACTCAGAAAAAGAAAGTTGGTATCTTCTCTAGGATAAAGCTACATCCATCATTTTTTTTTGGTCCAGGTGGAGGAAGTGGAACAAGCCATAAACACAATGTTTACATATTATCACCGTATAAAGTTATCATGTTAGCATGTTAGCAAACAATGTAATGAATGCAATTCCAACAATTCACTCTCCTCTCAGCTCTGTATTGATCTCCACTAAATCCTGAAGGAAATGTCTGAACCTCTCTCACAGCTAAATGCTCCAGTATGTTCACCAGCTACATTCTTTGTCTGTCTGCTCTTTGGGTCCGGCATTGACCACAGGGTTTTACTTTGAAAACAGCTGGAAACAGCTGGAAATGAGGTTGTGAGTAGTGAGTGATTCAATCAGTAGGTCTTGTGGTTGTGGGCCATAAAACACAATCAATGCGCTGAAACATCTGATGCATTGTTATTGATTATAGCTGCTGTGAAGAATTGAACATTTGTGCATCAGAAACATGTGAAAAATGCCTCAGATGAGATTTCAACCACCAGGTGTCCTCCTTCATGGATGTGTTGAGACGACTGCTGAGCGTCCAGAGGCAGTGAGTCATCTGTCTGCCCTGAGGGCTAAATGTCCTTCACCAATTAGCCTTCAAGGTGATGGCATAATTGCCCCATTTCATAATTACGGACACAATTGGGCTCTCTATGATTTGCCCTGATAAGACTTCACTCAAACACACACACAGATACACACACGTACACACACCCACACACACACTCACACTCACACTCACACTTACCATCTGGGTAACACAGAAGCAGTGCTTGAAGTTGTGGAAAGGGATGTTGTTGTATCTGCGGTAGACTTCAAACAGGAACTGCTGCAGAACTTCAGGCTCGATGTTGAAGGTCGCTATGAAATCTAGATCTGTGTACATGACCTGCAGGAGCACCATGATCTCTGCGTCCTCCCACTGCCTGGACACACACGCACGCACGCACGCACGCACACAAACACACACACATAATATACTGTAAATGTATAATTAATAGATACATGTTTATCAATCTTGATGTTTTTTATTGTTCTTTTTTACTGTTATTGTTTACTTGGCTTAATTATATTTTGTTGTCATGGCAACAGTGCTTTTCAAACTTCCAACAGAACGCCTTTGATCTGCATTCTGAAGAGTCATAGAGTGTGACATCACACTCTATGATGAGCATGGATCTTTGAAGCAGCTGATTGTTCAGTCAGTAGTTTCTCTGCCACCGTGGACAGAAGCCACAACAGGAAAGCACACAAACTAAGAAGAGAAGAAGAATGGACGCCGAGCCACACAAACAGCTGGACGCCACAGTGAGCGAGGTCACATTCAGCGAGCTGATGAAGGAGAACGCTCTTCTGAAACAGCAGCTGATGGACGCTCAGCTGAAGCAGCAGATGTGTCACTGCAGACTGGCAGCTGCTCAGAGGAAGATCCTGGACCTGACAGCCCAGCTGCAAGAGAAGGAGCAACACGCCAACACAAAGGCTCCTACAGAGAGGGACGTCTCTGAGCTGACTCTGCAGCTGCAGAGGGCTCATGAGGATCTGGAGACTTGCACCACCAGACTCCAGAACATCAACAACCCTGAGGATGGAGGAGAAGAAGAGCAGCAGCAGAAGATCCAGGCTCTGAAGAAATGCATCATGGACCTCAGTGTCAAACTGCATAAGGAGCAGGTCACTGTGATGAAGAAGGCCATCAAGCTTGTTCCCTGCAGCACTCAGGACCAATCTGAGTCTGCACAAGCTCAGAAGATGGAGAAGGTCAACCTCCACCTACAGAAACTCCAGACAGAGCTGCTACAGCAGGCCCTGAGTCTGAGGACTGCTGCCAAAGACAAGAAAGGTCGGTCTAAGTTCCAGTGGTTCAGAACCCACAGGGACCAGGAGCAGCAGACGGACCAGGACGTCAGAGAGGAGGCTGCAGGACGCCAGAAGACACAAGCTCATCTCAGTGAGATCCAGCTGCTCAGAGAAAAGCTGGCTGCTGAAGAGGCCCTGAGGTCACAGGCGGAGACAGTGGCCCTGCAAATGAAGATGGAGCTGCAGAAGAAGACCTTTGCTGCGCAAGAGGCTCAATCACAAGTGGACCAGCTGAAGAAAGATCTGCTGAGGACCACAGAGGAAGCTTGGGAGGAGACAAGAAAACTAAAGGCCTCCTACGTGTCTCAGCTGGAGCATCTGAGAAAGGTGAACGCTGAAGCTGCTGCCTCCCAGAACAAAGCAGAGGAGCGGCTGCAGCTCGGTCTGGAACAGTGGCAGGAGGAGAGAGCTTCTCTCCAGGCATCAGCCCAGAAGCTCCAGAACATCCTGAGGGAGAAGCAGCAGGAGTGGGTGGAGCAGGAGAGCGACATGGCCGCCAGGCTGGACGCTCTGGAGAGCCGCATCAAGGCCAAGAAGAGGAACCGCTGGCTGTCCAGGCTCTTCGGACACTCTATCTCCAAATGAGGGACATCTTTATTGGAGGGGGGTCTTGTGTTTGTCTCGTAACCCACATGCATGACAACCAGGAGCGTGCACGTGATACAAGCGCGCACAGAAAACTCGTTCTGGTGAGGACGGGTTTCTGCTCCGCGAGCACCAACGCAACCCTGAGAGCATGGAGTCACATCTCCATGGTCACAGGGCTGCATGTGAGCACTCACCTGCACGCACCTGGTCTTCAGTGTACGACCTGAGGCTAACCAAACACCCCCATCACCCCCTCTACCCCCCCCAATTCTCTGACTCTACCTCCACCTCTCTTCTCCTTCATCTGACTCTACTCTCCCTCTCTCCCCCTTCATCTGACTCTACTCTCCCTCTCTCCCCCTTCATCTGACTCTACCCTCCCTCTCTCCCCCTTCATCTGACTCTATCCTCCCTCTCTCCCCCTTCATCTGATTCTACCCGCTCCCTATCTCCCCCTTCCCCCTCCCTCTCTCCCCCTTTCCTCTGACTCTACCCCCCCCAACCAGTCGAGGCAGACGGCCGTCCACCATGAGCCCGGTTCTGCTCAAGGTTTCTTCCTGTTACAGGGAGTTGTTCCTTGCCGCCGTCGCTCACTTCTTGCTCATGGTGGAATTGTTGGGTCTGATTTCTTTTATAATTTTCTCTCCATGTAAATTAAATCTATTTGGAGTAAACTTGAAAAAAACATCCAGTCATCTCTGTGTTGTTTCATCGCTGCTGTAGTGAGATCATGTTTGAGAGATGATGAAGGAAAGTGAGGTGACGCCTGTTTGTGTAAAGACATTTGAAGAACGTTTTCAAGGTTGTTTTGTCAGAAATCTCCCTTCCTCTCATCAATGGGATGATTTCCAGTCTTGTAAAGTAGCTACTTCAGCGTTTACTGAAGTCAGTGCAACATGTTCAAATGAAGAGTTTTTAAATGGACTTTGGTCCAGATGTCCTGCAAGTGGTCAAACAGAGAGGTCTCAGCTGTCAGCTGAGGATGATGCCTTATCAACAACTTATTACAGTATGGCTGCGTTCAAAGGTGCAGATAGTTTTCTATTGTCTACTTCCTCCAAATGAAAACCATTTCCAAAACTGGACTTTTCCAAAAAGCCGTCCAGACTGGTAAAATCTAAAACCAGCAGTCCAGATCAAGCTAGTGAGGAGAACGTGAGTCAAAATAAAACTACAATCACCTCCTCATGGGTGCCTGCCTCCTCCACTCAGACTAGTTTCAGGTTACATCCCTGTTTATCCAGAGTCATAGAAAATATGAACCATTTGTGTGAAATTTTCTCATAATTGCAGTGAAGTCTTGAGTAATGGCTAAAAAGTGTTTTCTGAGGTCACATTGACTTTGACCTTTGACCTTTGACCACCAAAATCTAATGACTTCGTCCTTGAGTCCAAGTGGACATTTGTGTCAAGTTAGAAGAAGCTCCATCAAGGTGTTACTAAGATATGGTGTCTGTGAGAATGGGACGGACATACGGCGCTGAGGCATTAAAAATCACACACCTGCGTGCACAGGTGTATTTCCTGTTTCACTAATTGTTACTGAGGTAAATGTGACAGTAAATCATGACATTAATTTCAGGTGATATCACCCTGCTGAAGAACACTCCCTATGAACCGATGACAGTTTGCTCCTGAACTGGGAGCAGAAACAAGCAGGTGTTCTCTGTGAACACATCTGTCAGTGCATTAAGTGAAGCAGTGTTTCTATTTCCTTCAGTCCTTAACAAACACTCTGTTTGTCAGCTTTTAAAAAGCAGTGAGAGGAGCTGGATCTGTTCTCTGGTCGGTTGTTGATGTCTCTGCTCTGCGGCTCGGAGTCAGACTGAGGGGGAACTATATTTATTAATATTTACATCAATACATAAAGAGGAGCAGTGATCATTTCTACAATCTCATCAGTCCGTCATAATACACACACACACACACACACACACACACACACACACACACACACAGCACACACACACATGCACACATACACACACGGCGCGCGCACACACACACACACAACACACACACACACACAATCACACATCACACTGTCCCCGTTGCTGCAAATACTCACCCGCAAACTAAATCTACAGTATATTAATCAACATCTGAGAGTAATCCCAGACAAATTCATTTTAAAAATGTTTGAACGAAACCATAGGTCTGAGGTTTTTATTTTTTCTATTTTATAAATATTTTTTCTCCATTTCCACACAGGATCTGTGGAGCTCAGCCAGAGTGACCATCAGGTTCTCGGTCTCCTCTCTTACAAACGTCCTTCTCCCTGATTGCTCAGTTTGGCCTGGTGACCAGCTGGAGTCGCGGTCGTTCCAAACTTCTTCCATGTCAGAACGTTGGAGGTCACTGTCCCCTGTGGAACCTTCAGTGCAGCAGAAATGTTTTTGGATTCTTCCCCTGATCTGAGCCTCGACACAATCCTGGCTCTGAGCTCTGCAGCTGTTCCTTCCTCCTCATGGTTTCTGCTCTGATCTGCATTGTCAGCTGTGAGACCTGATATAGACAGGTGTGTGTCTGTCCACACCACGTCTAATCAGCTGAGTTTACCACAGGTGGACTCCAGTCAAGGTGGAGAAACATCTCAGAGATGCTCAGGAGAAATGTAGGAGGAACCCGAGCCAAACTTCAAGTGTCTGAATACATATGTCAGTGTGATATTTCAGTGTTTCCTTTTTAATAAATTTATGGGATATGGGGGAGACTGATAAGGGGAAAATGTTTTTTTATTTTTCATTTTTAGCATAAGGCTAACAGGGGCAACATAACAAAGTGTATAAACAGTATATGTCTTCAGTAGGAATGATTGTCCTGGGACTGAGTGCCACAGAGTGTTGAAGTCAGAAAGTGCTGAGATGCAGGTTAATACATTGTTGGTTTTGGTCTTTTTTATTGGATTATGGGTCTTGTTGACACTAACAACAATGTAGAATAATGCCAGCCTCGTCCTTTAAAATACTCGTATGCCAACATGGCAAAAAGAAAAGAAAGCATATTAGGCTTTCAAATGGATCTTATAATTTACTGTGATTACGTGACGCCACGAGCTTCTCTTCTTGTTTTGCACATAACCTCATATCTGTCCACCTCCATCATTGTGGGTTTGCTTTAAAAGCTTTTGGACAAATAAAATGATGACCGAGCCCCATTGAATGCGGCATGTGCTTTCTCCCCGTGAAGCCCACTTCAAACATGGTGGGTTGATTAAGCCTTTTATGAAGACCTTCTTTTGATTCGCGAGCCCTCGGCAGACCTATTCATATTGAGATGAGTGTGTCAATCAGAAGAAAAGGGTGAGGGCTCCTGTCCTCGTCAGAGATGCATCAGAGGTGCTTGTATGCCATGACTGTCATTAGCCGACCGTCCGTCTCATTGTCCGTACACCGAGGAAACAGGTGCACTGGGTGTTTGTTAGTGATCACACATGTGCACAGACACCCAGCCCATCACACTGATGATGATTATCATGATGATGCTGCTGCAGGTAGATTCTTACTGTTCAGATTCAACTTACCAGTTATCAAAGGTTGGGGTTTTAAGGTACTGCCTCACTTCTTCTGATACCTCCAGAGAGCTGCAGGGTGACAACATACTCATTAATGATAACTAGATGTTCAAAGGACAACAGTATAAGTATAAGTATAACAGTTCTTTATGGTCCGTTTGTGTTGTGTGTGAACATACCTCATTTGAAGAAACTTTTCCCGGACGTGCTCACACTCCTCCCTGGTTTTCCGCAGGGTTCTCTTGTGGTAGAAGGGGGAGGGCTTGTGTGTTCCCTCAGACAGGTCTTTAAACAGGCCAAGCCAACTCAGATGCTCCACACTCTGAAAAAGAATGGGGAAAAAAATCCAGTCAGCTGAGGACGGAGGTTAAATCCCCAGAATGAGCCATCACAATTTAGGTCATGCATTACAAAATATTTTCATTATTATTAGTGGCTCAATATTTACTGTACCAATGAGAAAAAGGGTCTCACTACAAAACAGTAGACTGTAAAAATAATTCATGTGTTTAAATTTAAATCTTAAGTTCAAGCTGCTGAAAAAGAAAAACTTTGTTTCAGCTCAAAAAGTTATGTTATACATGTTTAATTAGTGATCATTTGTTGTTTACACTTGATTCTCTGGGTTAAACAACTATATTACACCATCCATTCAAGAAACATTGCTTTATCTTGTCAAACAAACATGCAGTTCTACATTATTTCAACTTACAATTTCACGTTAAAATAATTAACAATAATCATACCAATTGCCATTTTGAGTTCTGTCTATTCACATTTTTAAGGCAGCAATTGAACTTAAGTTTTCAAATGAAGTTAACTAATGTTTTTAATAGTTATATTCCTAAGCTAATTTAGTAGACACCAAGAATGAAATGATTAACACTGAAAATGGCCATAATATGTCCTCTTTAAATACTTGACCCACACATATGCGGGACGGAAGATCCAGTGCTTAAAGCACCACCTCTGGCGGTCATCCAGGATTCATAGAGCTGTAGTTATATTCGTAACTTTCTTTTTGTTTCTTTAAAAATTTCATTCAATGAGTTGAGTGAACTTTCAGCAGTTCATTCATTCAACTCATCATAAAGTCAACACTCTAAGTTGAATTAACTTGAAATAGTAAATGTCAGATCACCAAACTCATTGGGATAACATCACCTGGGAGCCAAGAACGTCTGTGCAAAAGTTAAGTTCATGCCATTAATCTATCAATTACATGTTAAAATAATTTACAGGATATCTGATGTATGAATATCTGAAAACTGCACTGATTATTCTGAACAAGCTGTAAACACAACATATGACATATTATCACCAAATAAAGTTCATATGCCTAATATGTCATGGAAAGTTGCCTCTTTATGAGATCCAGAAGACCTGAAGCAACATTAGCATCCTTCATCTTTCACTTGATGCTAACCACAAAGTAATACAGCTTCCTGCTGTGGCCAGTGTTGGGAAACCTATTACTATTACTTTACTTTAACCTTTTCCTTTTGAAATGTAATAGGTTCCGGATTACTAATTAACCTGTTAAAAATGTAATAAATAATGTAAGTAATGTAGCTGTTTTAATTATTTTATCAAAGTAATGTAACTTATTACATTTGATTACTTTTTGATTACTTTCTATTACCATTGATTTAGTTTAATCAACATTTTCATTAGTAACTGTAATTCAATTGCATTTTTTTTCCTCAGTAACTGTAATAGATTGCATTTACATTTTGTTTGTAATGACGTAATCCCGTAACATGTAACTAGTTACTCCCCAACACTGGCTGCGGCTGAAAACAAAGTTGATGAAAACTGAATTTCAGGCCGCAAACAAAAACAAGGAGCTAAAAGAACAGAAAAAAGCATTTTAGTGCAGAGGAGAAGTCCAGAGTTTATTGATAATTGTCATTGGGTTCATAACTATGAGTAAACCCTTTTTACTTTAGTCATTTGAACAATTATGAATATATTGAAATATTGATACGTACAGCTTTAAATTTATATACTTTATATAAAACGAACAAACAGCAAACTGTTGGTGTGATTATGCCATTGTATGTGTGTATATTATAAGTTCTATGTTCTTTCCCCAAATTTCATGAGCAGCTTTAAAGCCACAGAAAACTTACCTCTAGTTTTATCTGGAATGAATCCACCTGTTTCTTCATCTCATACACCACTGCAGGAGTCTCTCCAGCCTCGATCAGGATTTTCTTCTCCAGGCCCTGCAGTCTGAACCCACGCACCATCAGTGATGGCTCCAGACATCATTTTCTTTATTTTTAACTGTTTGTTTACTTTTTCATATTTCATATTTAATATTAAATCCATTTAGTACATCTTTTTTTCACTTACTTCCCACCCTGCCTACCTTTTTTCCATGGATGAGAGGTCAAACCCGAGTGCACCAGCAAGCTCCGCACCTGAAATGACAAGCCAGAAAAGAAAGAGACTGCCAACAGTTTTTTAAATAAATCCAAGCCGTCTGACTCCCATGGTGCTAAGTTAAAGATACCTAACGGCTCACTGTTGCAGTCGGCGGCCACCACCTCCAGCTTGTAGCAGGAGTTTGGGCTGTTTGGCTCTAGACCTGGGGAGATGTTGATGATGTTGCCTTTGGGGTTGTACAGCTTCAGGATGTCGTGGGGTCCGGCCTCCGCTGCAGAGCGGAAAAGATCTAAAAGAACGGATCAGTATTCAGTTCGCACTATGTCCTGAGAAAATATGTTACAATGTTTATAGTCACCTTCTGAGGAAGACCATGTGGTGTGGTTAAAAGCCTTAAAAAAAACTAGGCTTTTCGTCAATCTTTTAGGTAACACTTTTTATAAAAGGTTATAAGTTGTAACTAATCACTTTATCAATTGTTACTAAATCCTTTTCTGAAGCTTTATAGATCAATTGTACCATTTTTATAATTAAACCATGAATAAGAACGACTTGAGTTACCAAACTGTGAAAACAAATCCTCACAGATGAACATGAACTATATTAAATCTAGTTAAGTTACTTTTGGGTTTTTTGTTTTTTTTGTAATCCATCAAGCATTTGTTAATGGATTTTCAAAAAATGGAACTGCAGGATAAACGTCAGCCAAAAGGGTTTTTCACAACCTGGCAACCAGTAGTGGAATGTATCTCAGTACAGTTACAAGTTTCGTCTTTTCAAATTAAGATTTTACATACAAAATATGTAAAGAGCATATAAAAGATGATGCTACCCAACATATATACAATTAGAGATGAAATAATTAATTTATTAATCAATAAATCAATTGACAGAAAATGAATTACATTCTAAAAAGTCAGTCATGGAGCCTTTTATAATTACTAAATTGCATTGCATTGTTGAAGGATAAAATTCAGTGACTTAGTTAAACTTAAACATAATTCTAATGAGCTGTGGTGACACAATACTGTTAGTACTTATTACAACTTATAATATTAACTAATTTCAACTCCATTTTCTTTGTTCATTGATTTAAAAAAAATGAAATACAAGGTGTGGTAACACCTCAACAACCTGCAGCTTAAGAAAACACGTGCAAACAGACAAAACACAAACAAATTCAGAAAACATCTGCATCGATTTGACAACACATGTGATGCAAATACTCACAATACAACCAAATACAGAAACATGCTGCAAGTATAGCACAGACAACAATTGGAGGTCTTTGTAGGAGACACTAAAAAGTGATGAACCCAGCTGGGATGCACTTGCATGGATGTATTATGTGCACTTGTTGTTCATTGCTTATAACTTCAAAAGCTTCAAAGTGAACAATAATTTTGAATTTCTGAAGTTTTACAAACCAAACAATTTATCATGAATTTAGAAAATTATCAGCAGTTATGAAAACAATCATTAATATTTAAACAGTTAGCTCCACCTCGACCTTCAACAGTCAAATACTGTTTAGACAGAAATGCATGATGCATAATAATCTAATAACAGTATAACAGTCTCAGGGTTTTTTTTTACTGTATTGAGTGCACTTTTACTTTTGATAATTTTTTTGCTACTTTAAGAACATTTTCCTGATTTTACATGGTTTCCTTTTTTAAATAAGTACTTAGTAACACTAGTTTTTGGTATTAACAAGATCAGATTTCTTCTTCCACCATTGCTGGCAACTCCAAATTTATTCTTAATGATGGCTTATAACTGATATGAATATAAAGCCTTAGTAAATGATTTATCATCAATAAAAAACACATTAGTTACCTTTTATAGAAGGTGACTAGATACTTTAAGTTTTTTAGGGCTGCCAAAGAGGCACTCCAGTCTGTGCTCATTAACACTGGGACAGATAAAAATACATGCAAAAGTATAACACACACACACACACACAGACACACACACAGACACACACACACACACACACACACACACACACACACACACACACACACACACACACACACACACTACATTGATTATATTATGTAAACAAAAGCTGCTTGCAATAAGACCTTCAGAATGGTCAGCTGTCAGTGGCAGCTGCATGGCTGTCTGCAGCCCAGACAACCTCCACAACACTTAACACAATTCTTTCATCTGTTTGTATAAATCTGATCCATGCATTTTTCAGTTATGTTTTCTTGTTTGCAAAAAATTATGTATTTTTCACTTGTAACTGATTAATACTCTATATGAGAATTATCATATTTTAATAACATGATATGGGTACACTTACACATACTACACATACCTTACAATACTTTTCAAACATGCAGTACATCCGTGAACTTATATGTAATGTTCTGCTCCTACCTTTGACATCCTGGGCAGGACAATCCACTGGGAACTCAGCCTGCTCTGGTCTCCCATTCACTGTGAAGTAGATGATTTTTGTTGCCATGTCATGAATTTACAAGCACTGATGTTGTGGTGTGCACGACTGATCTGTCTGTCTCACCTTGTTATTTCCCCGGTAAACACTCCACCCCCTTGTTATTATTCTCTCCACCTCCTCTTCTGCCCCTCCTTCCCTGTACTTCCTTTGTGCAGTAACGTTTTCCGAAAGAAGAGTAGAAATAATTTATTTAGTGTAACACCCACTTGTTATTTGTTTTATTTGTATATCTTGCTCTGAAGCTCATTTTCACCATTTAAAAAGGAAAGTCTTAATAAGGGATTTTTCCTCACGTAAACTATTATCTATATCTCATAATTATTATATTAATTCATAGTTATGACATTATATCTATAAGTTATAATAATCACGTTCACACAAAACATTCAATGAGAAAAAAAAGACTGAATCTAAGTTAAAGAGAATATCAACGGGACCAAGAACAAGACTTAAGAGTCTTAATTGATTCTCAAATACCAAAAATATTTGTGTTTATATGCCAATAGATACATGGTTCCTCGGCCCATGTCTGGCCCACATACAGCGATGCCATCAGCCAACACTGCAGTATAAAAGCCAGAATCAGCCAAGATTTGGAAGTATATGGGCCAGATTTAGGCTGGGGACCCAAGCATAAATTGGGACAAAAACCTTCACCAGAAATATTTTGCCATGAGGGACATCACAATAGCACAAAAAACAAAAACCAACATCATTAAAATTTTCTACATAAAATAAAAAAGCAAAGTAAGTATATAAAAAATTAAATTGAAAGGCTATACACATTATAAATTACAATATCTTAGGAGATATGCATGATGAGTGCATTGTGAACAGGTCACAGAATATAATGTATGCAGAAAATTATGTCATAATTAAGAGACACTAATAATCAAGGCACTTAATAATGCATAAAACACAAAAACCTGCATTAACTGAACACTTTTTATTTAGGTTCAGACTAGTTGCATTGCCTGTTGCTGTTAAAAGCACCCTCATCCTCCGCGCCTGCAGATGGCGCTGTAGATGTCGCACGGCTCTAGATTCAGTCAAACCTTCTCTCTGCACTTTGTTGGCCTGTCACCACATGTGCAACCGGATGAAGAGACCAACGTGGTAAGCAGGTAGCTGTGTGACGGTGTTGTTTTTCAACTTACAACTGATGTCTTTTATTAATCGAAATGACTGAAAGTAAAGCAGAAACGGCCTCCAAGCCCGCCAAAGAGCTGCTGGCTCTGAACCCCAAACAGGAATCCGAGTTCAAGAAGAAGGTGCAGGAGGTGAAGAAGAACAAGTCGGCCAAGGTAGGTCGAGATGAGCTGGTGGCCCTGGAGGAAACATGTAGCTGTATTACACGAGGGTGACTTCTGCTCATTTAGCTCAGCTACACATTTTATGTTCATTCTCAGAGATAACAGGAGTTACAAAGTTTCCCGGTGCAGTTGGAACTTGTGATGTACATCAGTAATGGCGACTGTTTGACGCGACCAAATACTGTTAATGTTTCCACAGAGGTCAGTGCTATGGTGGTCGTTAACATGGTAACTCGACAGGGTCACGTGTTTCATTTTTTGATTAACTTTATTAACATCACTAAAACATTACAATAATTTCAGGGAATGTTGGAGTAAAATAAAGCAAAAATAAACAAATCCTAACAGTAACACAAGCTGAAGTAAGGTTGTACAGTGTAAAACATTAATAATACAAATATTAAGTTGAAAAAAAACTTAAATTCATCTGACAATGTTGTCAACAATGTTTTTCAGGAGATTAGATGGTTGTAAAGCTTATTAGTTTTTAAATGCACTACATACAGAGACATACAATGTTTGGAGTACGATATATAACACGTTTTTGTCAGGAGGAAGCGGAAGAAATCTGGCATTTGTCCAACAAACACAGCAAATCTATAAAGTTATTAACTTCATTGTAATTAGACTTTACATATAAAAATAGGCCATACTTTCTGTAAGACCTTATGTGTCTCCAAGATTAAAAAGAAGGTTTGGGTCTAAAAGTTACTTGAATGAGCACAGACATCAAATAAATGAGTGAAGGACTCAATGTCCTCATAGTGGAAACATCGGGTTTAACTTTGATGAGTGTCTCAGCAGACACTGGTGGGACACTGGCCTTCGGTGCAACTTATAGATGTGTCTGTGAAGCTACAACACTTGGCCGTCCTGTCACTCTTTTGTGGTTTACTGTCTAAAGTTGTAAAATAGGGTGTCGATGTAAAACAACATTGTGACACACTGGTCTCAAAGAGAAGTAACAAAAAATAAAGACTGGTATCAAATAGTAAGATGGTAATGTATTAACCAGATAAATAAAGTAAATAAATAAGACTTTTTCAGGGGACCAATCATTATTTGTCTGTCTAACCTTCTTTTTTTATTGTATTTATTTTTTTCAGGGGAAAGGTTTGACCCCAGGGGTGATTTATGTCGGCCACCTCCCTCTGGGGCTGTTTGAGCCTCAGCTAAAAACTTACTTCGAACAATTCGGGAAGGTGTTGAGGCTGCGGCTGTCCAGGAGTAAAAAGGTAACGCAGAGGATGAAATGACTAAATACAAGTTTTTCCATATGTGACAGCATTAAGCCTAATTCAGTTGGTTTCCTCAAAAGAACATTGGGTTCTCACTAGAATAATACAAATACCATCTTTTGGGACACTGAGGTATCCCTGCTGAAGTGACTGTTTAACATCTGCTTCCTCAGTTTCCCGTCCTGTCCGTGGCCAATAAAGCAAATATCTTGGTGTTTACATTTTGTTAGGTGAGATGTTAATTAATATATTTGTCATTTCAGCTGGATATAGTTGTAGGGATCTCAGCCCATTAGAGTTTTGGCTTAGACTGAAAATGATCTCAGATGTATCAGTGATCTGTGGTCAGATAACTGAGCCTAAAGTACTGTGGTACGTTAAGCTTATCACCTGCTCTCTAATTTGCAGAGTGATAAAACCCATGTGCCAACAAAAACATGAAGTCGGATGAGTCTGAATAAAATGCTTATGTGTGCTATGAAACAATTCAGACATGTGATATTCACTTGTTTTCTCTCTAACCGCGTCTCATATCTTTTACTTGCAGACAGGTGGAAGCAAAGGCTATGCATTTGTAGAGTATGACTGTGATGAAGTGGCCAAAATTGTTGCAGAGACCATGAACAATTACCTCATGGGGGAGAGACTCATCAAATGTGAGTATTATTCATGTACAAGTCTGCTAAATACAAGCATGATTCCTGTTTGTCACCTGACACACACACACACACACACACACACACACACACACACACACACACACACACACAGAGGTTAAAGCAGATATATAAAGTTAGCTAACAGATCCTGTCATAGCCATCACACTAAAATAAAAATATTATTTAGTTAGTTTTATGTTTAATCTGGTAACGTGAATTATAAGATTGTTTTTACACGCTTCTTTCAACATCAGTGACAGTGATTTAGAGTAAAACAGTTGATCTAAATGCAAATCTAAACTTGGTGCTTCTCACTACTTTCTCTAGGCCATGTGATTCCACCAGAGAAAGTGCACAATAAGCTGTTTGTTGGCTCCGGGAGACAATTTAAAAAACCCTCACACCCAGCTGTGGCACGCTACAACAAGAATTGCACAGCCGAGCAGATCGAAAAGATGAAAGAAAAACTCCTACGGAAAGAATCGAAGCTCCGCAAGAGGCTCGCGGCTCATGGCATCGATTATGACTTCCCAGGATTTGTAAGTGTTTGGAGTTTGTTAACTTTAAATGTTAACTAGCTGTTATGTGTTTATCTGAACTACAAAAAAGCCCTCCCTGGAATAAATAGAAAAACCTTAAATATCATAAGTATTTGATCACTGAATATTGACTTATAACTTTGACCTTGGGAGTGCATTATCATGTGAACCATGAAATCTGCTGTGTCTCAAATCAGATACTTCCGTCAGTACAATCAAATGTAGTACACTGTGTACATAGTATACTCACTTGTGTAGTGCCATACTCATCAGTTAGAATGAACTAAAATAAAAATAAAAATGCCAAGTGTAAGTATGGAAGTACATGAAATGAGACACAGCAGTCCTTTTCCAATCAAATCACAGGGTTTTATGTGTGCAACATAATGAGGTACTTTGTGTTTTATACTGACTTTAATGTTCTTTTTCCTGTTCCAGTCTGCCCAGGTGCCTCAGAAGAAAAAGTCCTCTGACTCCGTGAATGCATCAACGTGTAGTGATGTAAGTCCAACATTAATATTTCTAATTGGCACAGACTGAAAATGACCCCAGATGTTTCAGTGGTCTGGGGTCAGATAACTGTGCCTACAGTACTGTGGTGCGTTAAGCTTATTGCGTGTCTCTCTCTGTGGCTGCGTGATAAAACCCATGTACCAACATACTGTAACAACAAAGGGAAAATCAAAGCTGCAAAGATTCATGGGAAAACTTGAACAAAACAAGTCTCCGCACCAGAATGACCATGTGCGACTAATGAGCTTCTCTCTTCCACTTCAGGACATCACCCCAGTCTGCACCCCCTCTCTCCTGGAGAGAAGGAAGTCCATGGTCGTCGATGACGATGCAGATGATGAGATTGTCATTAAAATTCCTGCTGCAGAGAAAGAGGAAGAGTGCTCCTCAGAGGAGGAGGAAGACAGTGACGATGATGAGGATGATGACGAGGAGAGCGAGGAACCCTCTGAAGATGACACGGAGGCGAAGTGAAAGTCTTCACTGTTTTATTGTGGACTTTAGCTGTCAGAGCAGAGATGCATACATCAGGATCATGTATGGTCTCTGGTTCTCTCAGTGATGGGACAATTATGAACTGTGTTCAGAAATCACAGTGTCTCTTTCTGTATGTGGAAATCACATTGCGATTTAGATGGAAGCTCGTATGAAAGATTCCACTGTTATTGTGGGTATAATGTGAGTGTTGTGAGTGGCGCTTGCGAAATCATAATGAGCCAGATTTATGGGCAACAGTTGAGCCTGGACTTCTTTGACAAAGGCATTTTTCCATGTCAGTCTTTGTGCAGACTCTAGTGTTCATATAAATAGCCACATTGTGTTGTCACTTGTCCAAAAGGTTGAATTTACATGAATTATGATATTTGATAATAAACAATGTCAGAATAGTTCTCTTGAGCAGTATTTTCAATATACTGGGTATGTCAGTCGTATGATACCGAAGAGAAAAAAAAAAACACTCACATACACACAACCGGCAAAATTTCTTTTCCTTTTTTTTTTTTTTTTTTTTTTTTTTTTTTTTACAGAAGACATCTATCAGTAGAAAAACCGCAGGTGTAAGTAATGAAATGAATGATTGCTGAATTCCATTTAGCTTCAGTTTCAGGGTCCTGTTCATGCTGGTTCACTGTCACTGCCATAACTTACTGGGACACTTGAATAGAATTATTAACACCTGTTTTTGCTACCATGACAAGTTTAAAGGAGCTATTTGTAAGTTTTGCTATTGCTACATAGCTAAAGTTAGCATTAACAGCTGTTTACTTATCAGTCTAGAAGAAATGTGAGTATAAACTTCATTCCTTTACTCACCAACAGCTGTCTCCAGCTAATGTTAACTCTTGTCTCCGTCACATCTTTTATTCTACTGGAGTTAGCATGCTAGCTCCAGCCCACCTCATCACTTTCCGATAGCAACTCACTGTAGCCTCCAGTCTGCCCTGCAGACGTAGCACTGCTCAGAGAGCGTATTATAACCTCTTGTTAAAAAGACAATGATGACTGAAGCTCTTGTCGAGACAATCACCACCACGACTCCCAGGCAAGAATACACCTTCGCCAGCCACAGTGCCTGCTGTGTAAAAAGGTCTTTTAGTGCCATTCACTGTACATTGTACTTATATTTAGCTTCCATCATACACTGGATATGGTACACTCAAAGCTGCAACAATAATGAGACAAAATCTGTTTCAGATTTAAGTAAATTTGGGGCATTGACCAACTTAACTCATTTGTACAAAAGCTCAGATTTCCTTCAATTGTATCCCTTCCATTGATTCATGCCTTGAGGTGGATTTGATATACTCATCAGAAGCTCGTTCAAGTAAGTCAGTTGGCAACCAGTGTCCGCCTGTTGTAAATAAGACTATACCTCAAGTTTGCAGCAGATTATTGCTCATTAAGTAGTATTGTGCATCAGAACTAAATGAGTTTCAGAAGTCAAATTGTTATTCTAAACAAAGAGGAGCTTTCACAGCATCAAGTCATGACTTCCAAGAGAGCGCTGCATGGAATTCGACAAGACTTTGCAGTAACTGGATCGGTTGTATCCAAAGCCAGATCAGACAGACCAAAAGTGAACACAATATCAGAGGATGAATACATCAAGCTTAGTTCCCTGAAAGATAGAAAAGTATCTTCATCACAGATAGTTTTCTAAATAAAGAAAGCAAGGCTCTAATCAGAAGAAGTGATCTGAGCAATTTCTGAACCACTTCTCAGGAGGGGAAATAATGATGACAATGATGGTGCACTTCTACACTGCCATCAGTGAGTCCATCCTCATCTCCTCCATCACCACCATGCTGCTGCCACCTCCAAGTACAAGAGCAGACAGCAGCGTAACATTCGCTCTGCTGAGAAGGTGATTTGCTGCAATTTGACCTTGCTCCAGGATCTGTACAAGTCCAGGACCCAGAGGCGAGCCGGACAAAGATTGTGGCCAACCTCGGACGCGCACTTTTTGAGTCACTCCTCTGTGGCAGTGCCGAAACCGCAAAAGGAACACAAGAATGCCACAAGAACAGCTTTTTCCCGACTGCAGTTGGCCTCATCAACAAACCAGAGACCCCCACTGACACTGATTCTGATTCTGAACATCACAGAAAACCAAGGAGTCCTGACTGTCATGTACTTTCCTCCACAGTCACCTGACCTCAACCTTATTGAAAATTTATATTTACTGAGAAAGCCAAGCACCCTGTGACACCATAAGAAGCTTCGTGAAACATGGTCAGATCATACTGGAATAACATGAGTCATGAGGTTTTGCGCAAACTTGTGGAGTCCGAGTGCATACTGTCATTAACACAAAAGGGGGACAAACCAAATATTGAGATATACAGATATACTTATATGTACATTTTCCAAAGATTCAACTCAAATTGTTAAACTGATATTATCAATTTAATGAAAACATTACTATTACATTTGAAACAAATGCTAATAGGAGTATCTTGGCCTCAGACTTTTGGGCCCCACTGTATGTGAGCGATGTTTTTTGGGGCCCAGATCATCTATGTGCATCAATGAACACAGAAACCTTAAATCGTCACTTTTATCTTTTTTTTTTCAAACTCTCATTATTGCATTTTTTAAATGAAGAGCATACAAAAACATATCTAAACCCCCACCCATATACAAAGTAAGTAGATAAGTAAATAGAATATAATATAAATACAGCAAGTAAAGAATTAGGCTATAATATATTGTACAAAAAAAACCCCAAATAAACAATTTTTTTTTTTTAAAGGAAAAAAAGACAGAGAAAGAAAAGGGAATTAAGTTCAGTAGATCCTAGCTCTCAGGGTCCATCAGAGCGGGATATGTGGTATTTAGACAGTACTGTTATCCTATAGCAGTGTGTGTGTAATTTTCCAAGCTTAATATGTCACTTTTATCTTAGAGTAAAGAAAAGTACGGATGTTTGCTTGTTGAATGGGAGCTACCTTTGCAGTGCACATGAGACACTGACTCCGTGTTGTCCAGTAGATGTCGCTAGATGTCGACTTATACACATCCATGATACACAGGGTTTTTTTTTTGCATTGCCATGCGACAGTTTTCCAAGTGCCAACATCATCCCTGGATCGACTGCGCCTGCGCACGACGATCCCATTCTTGTCCTGCAGGCAGCATTCCGGGTGGAGAGAGTGAGGGAAAGAGAAAGACACAGCGGAGGTTTTGAGGCCGTAGACTGTTTATTTACGACAAGAAAAACGAACTGTATGTCCAAACCCGCCGCGACGCTTGAGCAGGATATGGTGAGTAGACACATGTGTGATGTAGAGACACCTCCTCGTCTCCGTGTCACATTTTGTCTTTGTGCTGCCTGTGTCTGGCTGGCTGTAAACTGACGTTTCATTGAAAGGAAGGGCTCCGCTTGGGGCTAGCTTTAGCTTTTATTCCCCACACACCTACTTTGTCTGGCACATAGGAAAGGTTAGCTAAATGTTATGTAGAGAGAAAAAGGAGCAGGGGTGTTTCATGGCCGTGGGGGTAAAACACAGGGGAAGCTTTTGTTTGACGTGAGCGGTGTCTGAGAGCTGCTTAGGCGCTCCTGCGTTTGGCATAGCTAGCAGTGATGGTCAGGCTGTGAGCTAGCTGGAGCTCAGCTAACGTTGCACAAAAGCAGAGGTGTGTGTGTGTGTGTGTGTGTGTGTGTGTGTGTGTGTGTGTGTGTGTGTGTGGCAGAACAGGTATCTGTCTGACAGGGATGAGTAGCTTGTCAAAGTTGTAGTATAAACTGAACAAAGGATGGTAAAATTACAATATAATTTAAGGTGGTATGTTAATATAACAATTCTATAACAAACAAACTGAAATGTTGTTGACACATTTAGGATTTTTATGCCTTAAATTCAGTTGTTAACAGCTTATGCGGCCTTATTATATGCGTGTTATGCTACTGCTAAAATGGATTACACTCAGACCAGTGCAGCTTTTTCAACATTTATTTACACTTATACACACACTCTCTCACTCTTAACTCTGCATATACACAGTCATCTGCAACACATGAAAGAAAATAATAACAAACAAAACAAAAAGAACATAAAATCAACTCCAAACAAAAGACATTCCACAATACTCAGACATTTGCATACAGCCTGCAACACTAGTGGTTCTACATTCTAGATGTGCATATAAATCTATATAGAATTAATTAGTGAAAATTGGAGGTTCTGACATTATTGTTTTCACAACGTGATTGCACTAATAAGGAGAAAGTATTTTGCAGTATGGCAGCAAGAAGGTTATAGTCCAGTGAATCTGCTCCATATCTTGCTCCTTCTCCACATGCAGGTTTGATTTTCACCTTCCAGAACAAAGGCCCACATCAGATAGGGGTTGTTTAAGCATTCCTCTCTGGAAGATAATCTTGTCACACAAAAAGGTTTGGGTTGTCTGAAAGGAAGGAGCCCCCACCAGCATATGATCAAGCAGTCTGGAGCCGGAGCCAGTAAACAAATTACAGTGACGTCCTTGAGTCATATTCATCTGGAGTTGCTGCTGAGGCTCAACCTCTCTGTGTTTCCATGACAGTAGTGGGTTGTCGAGCTGAGTATTTGGAGCTGTCGGAGAGGAGAGGAAAGAAGAGGAGAGGAGAGGAGAGTAGGGGGTTGTGGGTGTGTTTGGGTGAAGAGATTCATTCAGAGCTTATCAACTGTCATGTCATTTTGGTTTTTAATGTTGATTTCTCTACAATTCTTCTTTTTTAAAATTCTTTGTGTAAAATTGTTGTCTAAGCAGTTTGGCTATGACTCTACTCACTGGCAGCTGCTGTGTTTCTTGGCAACATTAATTAACACAGCGCTGGTGATTTACTTACACTATGGCCAGAAGTAGTCAGACACTCAAACATTACAACAATATGTGGTTGTTGCACATCTCGCTCCCAAACCGTGATGATTTATCTGCTGCTTTAGCAGCCTCCACTCTTCTGGAAAGGCCCTCCATCAGATTTTGGAAGCTGGTGGCAGGGATTTGTTCCCATTCAGTTATAAGAGCATTAGTGAGGTTTGGCAGTAAGGTCTGAATCACAGTCAGCTTTCCGGTTCATCTCGAAGGTGCTGAATAGGTTTGGGGGCGATATCCAAAATGTAATAAAAGTAAAGTATTTTTGATATTAGGAAAGCTATCACATATGGTGGGAAATATTGCACGGCCCAAGACTAGTGTTGGATGGCATTGAGGTAAGGGCTCTGTGCAGGGCAGAGAAATTCTGCCACTTAGAAACATAACTCGCAACTAAGTCAAAAATTGATGAATTGATTAGTCAACTGACAGAAGAACATCCGGCAACTATTTTGATAATTGATTATCTTAACATTTAAACCATTTTCAAGCAAAATGCCAAACATCATCTGATTTCATCTTTCCAAATATGTTGGGCTGGGTATCATTCAAATAATTTTGATATCGGTACTGATAGGATACCTTGACATGGATACCGATTTTAAATGATACTTTTTTCAATACCAATTCAATCAAATTCATTTTAACAAAAAGAAAATTACAATACACATTACAGTACAGATTTTAGTTTCTCTGTCTCTTACACACTCAAATATGTTTGTGTAAATAAACAGCCAGTCTTTAGATCTTTATCCAAGCATGCTGCATGCTTATTGGCTCACTGAGCTTTTCTCATTTACTCCTTAGATATTGAATGACAAGGCGTTTTTAAGGTTGATATCTAGCCCTTTTTGGCTGTTTTCTGACACTTTAGTCTAAATTAATGATCACGTAAATAATCTGCAGGTTTGCCTCATTGTGTATATCATGTTAATGCTAGTAGATAAACTGCTCTCCTTTCAATTTAAGCTCAAAACTGTGATATTGATTTTAAGTGGTTTATTTTAAGAGTACTTTTATGTACCATGAGTCTAATCACTAATGAGATTTATAATTTAAATGAATTTGATAATGATTTGACTCTGTCCTATTGTCTGCTGTCCTTTTTGCTCCTTTAGGGCTCTCCAGGGCAGATCCCGGGACAAGACATGGATCTCTAAGCTAGTCCTCTCCATCCGTTTCCATTTGCTGCCGTGCCTGCTGCTCTCCTAAACCGCCTCCTCTACCCCTGCTGTAGCGGTTTGGCTCAGACTCCTCTAAGAAAAGAAGAGGAAAAAAAACTCAAGTGGGAGGGTGTAGTAAACTTTCCCCAGCTGCTGTCCAGACACACACATGCTGCATTGCTGCCATTCCCCAAGCCCTGCTCCATCCATCCCTAGGGCACGGCCACTAGCTTGCTAGCGTGCTAGCACTTGGCACAAAACGAAGGCCTGTCCTCGGGTATTAAAAAAAAACAACAAGCAGACTGTGTACACTTGCCTCTTTCTATTTTCTCCCTTTTCCGGGTCAACCAGCCACATACCCAGCAAGTGGGGCTCCTTTTGTCTAGCTGTCATTCCCGCTGCTCTGAGCAGTAGAGGATTGCTAGTAGCCAGTGAGTCAGTCATTCAGCGAGGCAGACTGAGGAAGCCAGGGGGGCGTGTTTATCAGAGGCCAGGATGATGGAGCCCAGCATGGAGAATTGCCTGGCGCAGGTCCTGCAGAAGGACATGGGCCGACGGCTGCAGGTTGGACAAGAGATCATCGATTTCATTTTGGACAAGGAGAAGTCTCATGACCTGGAGCAGGATCAGACGGCACTGGACAAGATGGTTGACGGCATCGCCAGCTCTTGGGTCAACTGCAGCAACTTTAAGGTAAACTCCATTAGTGACGCAGTAAACAAAGGATTATGGGAGAGTGTCATAATCTTTAGTGCAAATAAATACCTTTTTATGATTTCATATTTACATTACGTTTTCGACAAAGGTGTATTGCTGCACTCAGGCATCTTCAATTAACAACTCATTTTCCACCCACTGATATTTTCTGAGTACTGTGGACTGACTCTCCTCTCCTTAATGTCAGCGGTAGTGTTTTGTTCACAAGTGTTTTTCCTTCTTTTTATTAGGAAATGTCTGTCACAGCTCATTCAGTTGTGATTTATGCGCATCTTTGGGATAAAGGGTTCAGATTAACTTTAGTTTTATTTTCCTCTTCTCCTGTGTTTTAATTGAAGTGTTGATGTGGGTCCAGGTGGGCGGGGCTTGGGGCATGGCTGAGAGCGGTGACTGCTTTGTTGTGACATCACAAAGTTCCAGAAGTCCTGACGGCTGGTTTTAAGGCTCAGTTTCTGAATACAGGCTGTGTGCATTTCTCTGTGGACTGAGGCTTTGATACTTTCACAGTATTAATATAGAACCTAGACCTGCTTTATAATCAAACAACACATGGACATCTGCCTTTAGACTATATGGGACCTTTAATTCTCTGATTTAAAAATCAGTAATTTAGATGATAGACTCTGTTTTCAGTCGTCCAAACACCACTTCAAATCAAGTACCTTGAAAACAGCTGTGCTCCAGTGTGAGCTTGTTGCAGAATCTCTTTCTTCTCTGTGTTTAGACAGCACTTCCATTTCATTGTACAGCCATATAATGACCTCTGTTTAGTTTGTTTAAGGAGGAATTTCCAGTTTTTCTGTCTGTTTGCTGTGCAGTTAAATGCAAAAACGTTCTCAGGCAGCTACAGGCACATAACGTTATTGTTTCGCTTCAGCGTGGTTCACATTCTTCTTCTGTGATTGATTGTGCATTATTGTGGAGTTCAATCTAGGTGACAGTTTTATCTGACCCTGAGTTGTGATTACGTCAGCAGTTCTTTCAGTGTCCAGCCACAGGTTGCTTTCTCTGCCCTCAATGTGAGAACACATTGTTTACTAAAGCTCTGATTTCATGTCAGAATATGCTGCTTTTTGCTCTGTGTGTGCCCAAAAAAGTCATAGATCTCTGTCTGAACAAAGCCGGACCTGCCCCCAATGCCCTACATACTGGAGTACACAGTGTTTTTTTTACTGCTAGAGTCTCTGCAGTCTCAGTTCTGTGGTGCTAAGTTGTCTCGGGATGGTCCTTTCTGTGTGCTGCAAATCACCGCATTTGCCGCACTCCTGTGTTTTGCTCTCGGAAGTCTGGCACATGCCTGAGAGAAATGGTGATGAGCAGCCAGGCTGAGTTTGAAATGTAAGTTGAGGACATGGAGCGAGAGAGGGCTTAATTGGATCTGGCCTGCGTACAGCTCAGATGAAGGGGTGCTGGGAGGCCAGAGCTGGCAGATATGGGGCTTTTGACTGAGGAGTCAATACTTGTGGTTGTAGACAAACCTCCCTGCATTGTGCCAAGTTAAAATTCTGCCCTATTTTAGGTCTTTATCATATAATTCTTTAGTTATTTTTCTTGTTGTAAGCACTGGTGGAAAAGATGCATCCTTTCTTCTTTGAAAAGCTGGTGGAGGCTCAGGTGAGTCAGTCTGTCAACCTGTCAAAAGTAGGTGATGATGTGTCTCTTTTTCAGGCTGCTAGAAAAACACATCTTTCCTTTTTTCAGTGGCTCTATTTGCTGTGTTAGTTGTTAGCCCATCAGAGATTGTATCCTCAGCACAGGCCAAGCCGATCACTTGGTAACTAATGTGGAAAGTATTTAGTTTGAGAGAGAGAGGAGGGGGGGTTGGCTGATGGATTCATTCACCATAAATGGAGGTTTGGGGGGTGGTGGAGGGGTAGGGGGGTGGGTTGCCTCTAATACCAGGCAACTGTTTTACAGAGCTTTACAGTCTTTTACACTCCTCTAACCTAAACTTCAGTGTAGCATTCAGTCAAAAAGTGTGCTTTCTTTGCAGCACATACCTTTTTGTGTTTAGATAACAAACAGTGGATTGTTGTGCAGGAGGACAGAGTCACTCAGTGTACTCCTCCTCCTTGTATATCCCTGACTGGACCTTGTTTAACATCTTGTCAAGCTAACAATACATTTCATATCTGAGACAAAGCACAAGATGGATTAAATAGTACAAAAATTACATTGTGTACAGCAGCGCTGGTACTGTATGTCAGCTGTTCTCAAACACAGCAGGAGGCCTTTCCATCATTACTAAAAGAGAAAAATACTACATTTGTTCCTGTTTACAGTTTCAAGCAGGAGTGCAGAGGGAGGACATTTTGCATTTGCATTTTGTTGCATTTGCTCATATTGCAATGACGATGAAAAGAAGATGAATCGGTCAGCACTACTTGTAAGTATCAAACCAATTCAGTCAGTCCATAAAATTATCAAAGTTGGATACCCAGTCTTAAATAGGAGAGACTATGAAGCAACTCAAATTAACCCCACTTGGAAATGCCTTTCTCTAAATGACCAGAGAGAGTGAACATCACTGATTGGCATTGGCATTTAGGTGGTTTCTGAATAGAGCGAGAGGATAGTGATTCGTTCACATACAATTTCAAATGGAACGAGTCATGTGTGCGTGTAGATGGACAGCTCTCGATGCAGTTGTCATTTTTCCAGAGCGATCTCCTTCTGTATTTCCCATCCATCTCAGGGTGTGTCGAGCTAGCAGCCACCTCCCACGTTTCAGCTGCTAAATCAACTCAAAACAAGACGGCCTCCGCCTGCTGATTGGCTCATTAGGAGCAGCATGTTAGTCAGAAACACACTGAATTTGCTATGATGGTTTTGTAGATAATTGCAGTCTCTCAATGAGGTTATATTTAGGCTGGTAGTTGTGTGTTTTTGTGTGTCTGCTCATGTTATATGCACAACCCTGCTTGATGTGAAGTGTTCCATGTGTTGTCCTGTACTATGTCATGCAGAGGCCACGCCCACCTCAACACTGGTGCAGCATGAGCTCCTGTGATCACATTGAACACGCCTGGATCACATGTCTTTAATTCATATCAGTTGCATTTTTCATCACATTTTCTACCATTATCTGACCCCGATACAGAAGGCACGGCACTAAAATAAGCTTTAATCACCATGCCGACAACACTGACTGACTGCAGTGGTTCGAAATGGTAGATTTAACAAAATAATCTTACTACTTTTGAATGCTGATCATGCCAATAATTATCAAAAAAATAAAGACCATTAAATAAAAAAAGGGAGCATCGCTGTCTTCTTGGGTCGTGCTCATAGGTGATGGTTCAATAATGGAAAACTCAGTTCATTGTTTGATTTAAACAGAACAAGACATGGGCATTTGGAGAATTTTAATTAATCAGTCTTAGAAAAGGCTCACAGTCAGAAAAGACTACAAGAAAGAATGCATTATATTTGATGGACATCTTCCCTCAAACATGCTCCCGTTTGACAAAGACTCGATCACTGTTGACAGTTTTAGTGCCGTGTTTAACTCACAATGCTGCAGGACCACAAAACAGCAGTAAACAAACAGTAAATAACGAAGTGATTTGCACCTCAGCCCCCCTCTCATTCCTCCATTTTTAACACCTTTCCAGCCTCCAGGAGACCAGTTAGGCTCGTGTCAGTAACCATCCATCACGTCACCTCTTCCCTGCGTCCTTTTCATCTGTCTGTCTCTGCTTGTGCAGACCTGAGCCTGGGAGCCGAGCTGGTTTACTAACTAAATAAATCCAGTCTGGCAGGATTGGTTTCCAGGTTGTTGAGCATTGAAGCCATCGCTCAGACAAGCTGGTGCCACCTGTGATGTTGTCCAACAATGTCTGTGCTGGGCGGCCTGAGTGGACCACAGGCGAGACTTTTACAGGATCAGTGCTGATGCACACAGGCGTGTACATGTGATGCACTTTCAGGCTTTTGCAGCTGCGGCAGGCAGGTTGCTTTTGGGGTGAAACAACAGCAAAAACAAACAAAAAAAATGAGCATGGACAGACGAGTCATGGCCTTTTGTTTGTGTCTGGATGTAGAGTGTGTGTCTGTAGGGACCAGCTGAAATCATCAAAGACTGGACAGATGATTAGTTGTAAGGTACTGAAACACTGAAGCAGCTAAATGCTCGAGGGTGCAGCTGAATCACATCACTTTGAAGTTGCACTCATAAAACGCTGTTTCTGTTGCCCTGTGGGGGAATATACAGTCTCAACAGGATATGGTAAAGGCAAGAGACCCATTTCCCTCTGGCGACATTTTAGGAGCTTACATTCGTCAGCTGCTAAATGTGATATGGCTACCTCAGATAAGCAGGAGTGATGCGGTTGTAGTCTAATATAAGTATGAAAATATGCAACTCTGAAAGCTTTGTCAGCATGGTGAAAGGTTCACTTTAGCCCCACTTACTGTCTCACTCTGTGATATATGTTATGTTATAAAAATATAAGCATAAATGTAGGGATCATGGTTTTGATTATTATTATTTTATTAAACCAGAATAGGTATAAACCTAGTACATGGCTTAGGGCTACTCCACTTGTTACCTTTCAGTTACCTTTCCTGGCTACTCAGAGCTGCAGGGAAATGGAGTTACGCTTCTAGTTCAATGAGCCTAGCATCCATTACAGCAAATAAACTGCATTTATTACATGTACCCTTATTGCTAAAGGAGGCAGAAGAATAACTAAACATAAGACACACCGAGCAAGAGAGAGCAGGAGAGAGGGAGGGAGAGAGAGCAGCCATTGCTAACTGCTAAAGCTAAAGAACCTAGCATGAATAGCGTGTAAACAACAGAAACACCAGCAACTGGAAATGAGACAATACTCTTATTGCAGCACAGCAATAAAAGCCCCACTGAGAAATAAAGGGTTTCTGTCCAATGAAACTTTAGAGAGCTTTTGATGTGAAATGGTTAGAGAAAGTGTTAAGTGAATTAACACGTAATGTAGTAACTTAAACAAGAGCAG